GTAACAGTGAAAAAGACTGTTTGGATATGTGGAACGAGGCTCTACAAACGGTTACCCCAGACATGTGGAAAAATAGTGTTCGACATACTGAGCAAGAAATTTTTAAATGGTATGAAAGAGAACGAATTTTTGATCGACCAGACATCGAACCTTTAATAATCAACTTTGAGAGTGATGAAGATTCAGATTCAGACAGCGCTGAAGAAAGAAACTCCGACTAACTTTATTGTACAGAAAAAGCTTACACCAGTAGCTTACCTAATTTTAGAATGCATTTTTCTGTATGAATTCTGTAAAATAAATACCATGCATAAAATTTGGAGGACCCCATTTGGATTTTTATTCAGTACCTTTAAGCTATCAATTAAATATGGTAGTTTCATAGTGTCATCTGATCAATAATTGTCATACTTAATGATTATGCAAGTACAGATCTATAATTTTATTATACTATTATTTTTGTTCTCATTTGAGGTTAATATTGCTTATAAACCTAGATATGTAAATAATAAATTTTATTATTTTACAAAAAGTTTGGCAACAATGTAAATTTTTCAACACACCCACCTTGATGACGTGCACGCCACTTTGTTTGGCGTTGACTATACAAATCATTCTCTTAATGATTTCGCGCCATCGCTGTTTTTCAATTTCAAAAAGTAGGCATATTGTCACAGACACTAATCAAATCCAAGGGAATAACCAAAATTTCCGTATTATGACCGCGGTTATAATATGGTTCAAGATGACACACGGGATGATGACGTCATTTACTCGAATCGCTTGAACGCGTTGGTTTTAACCGCGGTTTGTTGCAAGTTGTTTATTTTAGAAAAGCGCGTATATAGTTTCTGATTATTTTTATTATCACTTAATAATCAGTGCTTTTTCGTCTACAACGGGGTATGGAAAGCTGAAAAAAATAAAACTTTCATAATATTAATGGCAGGAATGTTTTTTTCAAAAAAACATTTTTACTGATGGAACCATGGCTTTGTAGCAATGATAACTTTCAATTCTCTAAACTTCTCCGCATGTCAAAGAAAATATTTATGAATTTAGCAGAAATGATAAAAAAGCGATGAATAAAAGATATTAACAAAACCGTATACAGGTGGACATCATCCAGTGAGTTTATATGGCGATATTTTAATATTCTTGTGGCTATACAGGATACTTTGTTACGCGTAGGAACTAGATTTAAAGTGTCCCCAACAACAGTAATGATTATAAATAATAAGGTGCTTTCTTATGCTAAAACTGAAGTCAGCCTGTATCAAGTTTCCCAAAAATGAAGCTGAAGTACAATAAAAATATCCAATACCCGGCAAAATTCTAACTTTTCACATGTCAAATAATAACCAGAAATATAAACTACTCCTGAGTTGGGTAAATACCACAATTTTGCGGTGATAACTATGACATATAACAGCTGATTCATGACGTCACGGATCTTATAACCAAACTGATAACCACACTCGCTTGGACGGATCGGTAAATACCAATCCAAAATGGTAAATACCATTTTCATTTGGTTATCCGCTTGAATGTGATTACAGTAGGCAACTTAGCATTCCACTACGCGCATCTACTCCAGGGTACTGAGTGCTGTCGGCAAATGATAATCTATCTCAGGGTACGGAACGAAAATATTAAATAAAATATTTTTGGAACGCGAACCAAATAACCAAGTATTTGGCGCCCCTATAAATTTGGGACATGCGTGCGGGGCATTCACTGCATACTCGGTAGGACCGGCCCTGTTTACCATTTTGAATTGGTATTTACCGACCCGGTGAAGCGAGTGTGGTTATTAGTTTTGTTATAAGGTCGGTGACGTCACCAATCAGCTATTTTATCTCATAGTTATCACCGTAAAATTGTGGTATTTACCCAGCTCCGGAGTAATTTTATATTTCTTGTTATTATACTAAGTGACATATAAATCCGCACACCCAGTTTAAATGGTTTTATTTTAATAAAAGTTGGTGAATGTATTTATCTTACTGTAAATAACAAGTGAACAAATTTTCAGCCTTATCAGTTGGACATTCCGGTTTTTATACTGCTTTTTTTTAATTCACTAACGCTCTAAAAATGAATATTTCCTTTACGACCGGTTACGATGCCTTGAGTACGGAGACCTGTACGATTTCGTCAACTTAGTGAGTTTGATAGGGGCCGTATAGTGGGACTTCGGGAAGCTGGACTTTCTTTTCGGGCAATTGCAGTTAGAGTGCAAAGAAGTGTAGACACTGTGGTTAGGTGTTGTCAGGCATGGCTTCGAGAAGGCCGTACGCAAAGAGCAAGGGGCACTGGACGCCGCCGTAGAACAACAGACCGTGAAGATCGCCGCCTAAGATTATTGGCCTTAAGCGACCGTTTCTCCACTACCAGGTCCATTTCAAATGAATGGTTTGCAGAACACGGAAGACCTATTGGCATGCGAAGTGTTTACCGACGAATGAGAAGTTTTGGCTTGTTTTCATACCGGCCACACTGGGTCCTCCCTTTAACTCGAGAATACCGACGTAATCGCCTTGAGTGGTGCAGACAACGGGGATCAGGAATGGAACAGTATTGTCTTTAGTGACGAGTCTCGATTTTGTTTAGGCATGCACGATGGTCGTGCCAGGGTTAGAAGGCGACGTGGTGAAAGGAGGAATCCACAGTTTTTTGTTGAAAGACATGTTCATCACACTGTTGGAGTTATGGTCTGGGGTGCTATAGCTTATGGTTCCAGGTCACCTTTAATCTTTATCAGAGGTAACATGAACGCGCAGCGTTATATCCACGAAGTTCTAGAACCCCATCTTTTACCCTATCTTGACACCCTGGCAGATCCAACTTTCCAACAAGATAATGCCCGACCACATGTTGCAAGAGTCACAATAGACTTCTTTCAACATAATGATGTCACATTGTTATCATAGCCACCAAGATCTCCCGACTTATCCCCAATTGAGCACGTGTGGGATATGATGGGTAGGAGATTGCTCAATTTGCAACGTCCTCCTCAGACTCTAGAAGCACTTCGAGAGGAGTTGGTGGTTGCCTGGAATGAGATACCACAGGAGGACATTGACCACCTGATCAGAAGCATGCCTAGGCGCGTCGGAGAATGCGTAGCACATCTGGGTGCATCCACACATTATTAAAGGTCAAAGGGCTTTAAAGCAGTGCAATCATTTTGAAATTTTTATTATTTACTTATTATGCTTCATTAAGTACTTATACAAAATTTTATTAAAATAAAACCATTTAAACTGGGTGTTCGGATTTATATGTCACTTAGTATATTTGAAATGAGACAAGTTAGAATTTTGGCGGGTATTGGAGATTTTTGTTGTACTTCAGCTTCTTTTTTTTGAAACTTGTTACAGACTGACTTCAGTTTTAGCATCAAGTAGAGCACCTTATTAGTTATATTCATTAATTACTGTTTATGGGGACACTTTAAATCTAGTTCCTATGCTTAAGAAAGCATCCAGTGTAGCCATATATCACAAGAATATTAAAATATGGCCAAATAAACTCACTGGATAGAGTCCACCTATATAGGGTTTTGCTAATATCCTTTTTCATCGCTTTTTCCTATCATTTCTGCTAAATCAATAAATGTTTTCTTTGACTTGTGGAAAAGCTATCATAGCTACACAGTCATGGTTCCAGCATTAAAATGTTGGGTGTCATATCTTGCATTTTCACGACAAACTTGTTTAATAAATAAAAAATAAGAGAGATTTTCTCAAGTGATTCAATACCTGAGCAATATCTTCTCAAGAAAAAACATTTCTCCCATTAATATTATGATTTTTCTTTTTTAAACTCTCCATATCACTGTCGTAGACGAAAAAGCATCAATTATTAAGTAATAATAAAAATAATCAGAAATTATTAGCGCACTTTTCTAAAATAAATAACGTGCAATAAACCGAGGTTAAAACCAACGCGTTCCAGGTTCCAGCGATTCGAGTAACTGGCGTCATCAACTCGTGGGTATCTTAAACCACATTATAACCGCGGTAAATAACACAGAAATTTTGGTTATATGCTTGGATTTGATTATATAGGCATTCGCGGCAGCTACTGAGAAAAACCTATGTTATGCTCTTGGAATTGACCCAAAAATCGCCCCCTTGAAATACCGACATTCAATTAGGGAGCACACTGTATATTTAAAAAATTTGCTCGCATAGTATAATCATTTTCTTATTTCTTCTCTAAGGGGTCAACACTTCTTAATGTCTATGCCACTTGTGAGCCGTCAAACACGAAAATATTTTGCCAATATCTTAATTCACTCCAAAGATATTGGTATTTTTCAATTTTGTCGACTCCATGTTTTCGTGCTATTTTTAATGTACTTCTGCCCTCAAAATAATGTGTTGACAGCATGACTGCTAGGTACGCCTGTCATTTTAAAAGAAAAATAGCATTTTATTTTAACACTCGATTGATTACTCTAGTGACTGACTCTACAGTAATCGTTAATTACATCAATATTCGGTAAGACACACACAATTAGGTACATTCTATATAGGTATTGACATTTGATAACTCACAGGTTGCTTGATTTGTACACACACCTTTACCGGCTTATCAACATTCCTGATAAACTATCCACACGCTGCTATTGCTATTAAATTCACTAAAACCATTTACTAAAAAGTTAATTTAAGATCATATTGCTTATAATTTTCAATATGCAATTACCTTGAACAGCAATAACTGTATCATATTAAAAACACCTTTCTCTCAACGCTACATTTGCGATCTATAATTTTTAATCAAATAAACTATAATTTATTTTCAATACAGATGCTAAATCGGTATAATATCTCGCCCAAGTTAGCCTAGTAGTGGAAGTACACCAACTCCGAAGGATGCCTTCACTCGCATTGGGAAGATCAATACACGAAATTCAAAAAATGAGGAAGACGGCGCTGTGTCGGGCTCCAGCTTCATGCAAGGTATAGAGCGCTTAGGGCGAGACTTACCCTGTTATTGGCGGTGTCAGTCTCCGTACGCTGTCTTTTTATGTGAGGCCCATCTCCGTTAAACGCCATTGTTATTGAAGCGAAACGAGAGAATACCGAAATGAACCACCTCTCACTACAACGACACGCACGGAACTGTCATTTTTGGTCGGATGGATGAACGATCTGAGATCTGCGGAACGTTGAACGTGCGCCGGACCGGTCGATTTGATGTATTCTGCGCCATCCATTGACCAAGTTCTGAACTGTGGAGAAAGTAGGATGCCATGATGCCAAGTTAACTAAATGTTCGATGGAGTAATGGTTTTCAACTATAACTGCTGTTCTGTAACGACGTAACTCATGTTACAAGATTATGAATGAATGATGTTAAATTAGCAAAATTAGTGTGTAAGAATTGTCCCATAATACGTAACCAACTGTTGGAGTATTTTTTCCTCATAGCTGTTTTGGTGACAATAGTCAGATCCACTTTTGAATATTTATTTGCCCTTACTTTTTATAGCCGCTCGTGATTATTGAACCTAGATGAAACTTAAATACATAGCTTACATCCATTTTTCAAGAATAATGCACCTTATCCTCCCTTTCGCTCTCGTGTATCAAAAATAGTGTCTGAAATTCATACAATGAAGAGGGCCCATATAAATCCTCTGGAGATTCGTCTAATTGGGATACAGCTTGAGTTTTATTATATATATATATATATATATATATATATATGTTTATACATTTTATGGATACTGTTAGACCGTGACTATACATGTTATGTCAAGCTGTCAACGTGAGAGAATAGCGCTTAATCCCTCACATCTAAGGGTACGTACGTAGTGAAAGATGCTTACTATGATGCTTTCTTCGCTACCTCGATGAGCGCGTCCGCGACTTTCTACATGGATGAATTCACCCTCGATGCTTTCTCTTCTCTCCTCGACCGCGTTTCTTAATTTTTGATTTGTCTCTGGTAACCAAGTGGTGTTTAGTTCTCTACCAAATCGAAAATATAGTACACATCCAGTAAACAAAGAGAGACAGGAACTTGGAGAGTACCACCATGTTTTCCTCGAATTGAAGAGAGACAAGAAAGAATTCCACTCCTACATGAGAATGTCGACAGATACTTTTGGATACATAGGTACTCGACAAAGTTGAGCCTCTTCTGGACGACCGTAAGTAGAGTAATCTAATTCTTGCTGTTGAACCAATCACACCTAATCCCACCTCGATGTTTTCCTCCTGACAACTAGGTAAAACAAAATATTTGTTCTTCCGCGCGGTCGAATGCGAGGAACCGAAGGTTGCGGTGCAAAATGCATCGTCGACATGAACCCTCCCGACTTTTTTTTTTTTACTCGGCGTCAACTTCTATGGTTATTAGCCGTACCCTCCCGACTTAAAACATGTTTTTTTTACATCGCGGTCAGATCGAGGAAGCGACCATCGAGTTAGCTAAGAAAGCATCGCAGTAAGCATGTTCACTATGAACATACCGTAAGGGTGCACAGCTAGTATGACAGAAGTATAACCACATTCTAAGGATACGGCATTCCAGAAATTATTCTTTATTTTTTACGTCACGCCTGAACTTACGTCACAGGACAATATTTACCGCTTCTCGATCATAGAAAAAAGTGAAACCCAAAACATTCACCTTTTGAAATAAAATATGGATATTCCCTGGTTCATTCCTAAACTATGTAGAAATCTGACAACGTGGCCAAGAAAACAAGTTTGTTTTTTTGTTATTTCATTTTATGATTTTATTGCCAGTCTAAATGAATCATATTTTCTGATGGGATAATAATAAATAGTAATTATAATTCACGTTGTTCTCCATTAAAGATAGACAGTTAGAGAAAGAAACTCAAAGAAATGTAAAGCTTGAAAGTACATAGAGATGGGCGTTCCGCTTACGGCTTTTCCGAGTTGTCAACGGGTTGTCAACTGTACGGAATAACCTAAAATTCCTACAGGGTGTTCCGCTAAGTTTATACGCCTATCTGATTATGTATAAAATGCTCTAAAAAGTGAATAATTGATAAGGTAAGTACTTGCAACCCACAGTTATTATTTTACAAATGATAAGTTGACGTAGAATTTTGTTTAGGATAGAATTAGATGAAAACGTAAGACCCCCATCTCCAGTTATGCATTTCTAAAATGGCCGCTGTGGATTGATAAAATACAGTTTATGATATATTCACATCCCGATTTGCAACGTGTTCTTGAAGAAAATTTGTTTTTCACGCAGAAGTCGTCCAAAATAAGCCTCTTCCGGCGTTTTCTGGTGTAAACATCCGGTGGACACGGTTGACTGGTCCCAAGCAAGAGCGAGACATAAACACTGCAATCATATGCATTAATTTTTAATGCAGCTTTGAATTTTTCATTTGTAGGGAAGAATGGAAACTTCACTTAATGACGGTGTGTACGATAACAGGGGAAATGCCGTTCAGAACGTCTCTCACCAGCCTTTGTTGATGGGTACAAATGAAATGTACACCAACAAGGTAGTGCAGTATCAAACTGCTGACCCTAACAACAGTGTGTACGAAATCAAAGAGGCCATAATGAAAACTAGTGAAACAGAGCTGACACAAACCCAGCAGTACTATTATTCTCAAAGTGACCAGCAGAACAAACAAACAGAGTATGGGGAATATGTGATTCAGCAACAAACTGAAGCTACATACATACAACAGCAGACAGAAACTTCTGATTATGCCCAAGACCAGTTTTTGCAGATTTCTAACGTAGAGAATGAGCAAGAGGTTACTCAGAGGCCAGAGGAGGTTGCTGCCCAGTATGTTGAGACTTCAGATAGCAATTTTGGGTCTCAATATGAAGGTATGTTAAGTTTTAACTGGATATATACATATAAAATCTCATCGCAATAAGTAATTAAATATATATGTACACTAGCTAATGTTTTTCTCATGCTGAATAGACAGTAAGCTATTTCAAAGTTTTTGGTGGTGACAGCATTTTATATTTTTGATACTGAAAGATTTTGGTAAATCTTGGAATGAATATGTTGAATCTACAAATTCTCTAAAATGACAATGACATTCATTCTAGGGCAAAAGTTTTTGTAATATCATATTCTTCCCCTTTGCCCAAACCTTGGAAATACGACTCAAAACTTAGAATGTATAGTGAAACAATGGGCTAATCTTAAACCACTGAGCGTCAAAGCTTAGGAAAATAGAAGTCAGCCATAAACAATTGTCACATCAGTATTTACTGTGGTCTGTACCTTTAATATTTAGTGACAATTCTGTCATTAGATTCCTATGTAATCTTATACTGACATGTGGGCTACATGATCAATGAATATCACATTCTTTGATATATAATGAGAGATCACAGTCATGGGCGCCTATTGGGGGCAAGCTGGGCATATGCCTCCCCCTGGCTTCTGCTTCATAGTTAAATATCATTAATAAGATACCCATTCCTTGGGATAGAAGTGGTGTGTGAGGTTTTTTTGCTCTTCGAAACCTCCCAACATAGATTTTTTTTTTTTTTTTTTATACTCCAACTACCACGAAGGCCTAAGGCCTAAGCACCCATTGGGTACCGTGGGGCTATGGGGGATACATGGGAAAGGGGGGACGCCACACGGACTCTGGCAAGGGAACACGTGTGCATGCAACATGCACACATTCTGGCTCCGCCTACGAGAACCGCCGGGTGGTACCTCCGCGTTCGACAGTCAGAGACCATCTACCACCTACGATGTTATTTCTTCTACCATTTTGAATTGTTGGCAACTGCGCTTCCCCCTAGGGTATAAATAAAGGTCATCGTGCAATGTAGAGTTAGATTGGCAGCCAGACAGTAGTGTTAAGGGGGTGATGCACATGATTCAATTATGTATTTTGTATTTGATTCCTGATTGTTGCATTGTTACAAAAAAACGCATGCATAACGCGACTTATTATTGTTGTATTGATGTTTCTTTACTAGCCTTCGGGGTGTTTTTGTGTTAAATTATTTTTGTACCTGCTTTTTTGATGAAAGAATTGATATAACTTGTTCAATTATATATATATATATATATAATGATGTTAAATGAAAAGAATTACTTTGTCTATATAACATTAGAATACCTAACGTTTATGTTTTGCATTTGTGTGGGCATTAATAAATATATACATGAATTGCTGCAAGTGAAATATGGTTATTATAAAAAGTAGCTTCCTCTACATAATGGATGCCATGTTGGCTTGTAGAAGGTACTCTTTTTATGTACCAAAACCCGCAGTGGCGGTACGTGTTTCTCACAGGTAATTCTTGATTTTGGGACGTCGGACAGCAGGTATCTGCCCCATAAATTTTTCCGACAATAGTAGCTCTTGATTTTACACATTTTTAAAACATCATACCTGCTCCAATATAACAAGTCAAGGCCTCATGAAGTCAATTATCTTACAGTTGGGATTTTAAAAATAGATCAACAAAAATATGTAAAATTGAGAGGTGCTATTGTTGGACATACTTATGGGGGATGCCTTCTGTCCGATGCCTCAAAGTTAAGAATTGTCTGTAAAAGAAAAAACGTTCTGCCACTGAGGTTTTTGGCACACAAAAAGCTGTTCAATTCGACTCAAAGAACACATTTGCAAAACCTCAATGGTTAGGTAATCAATGAATTTTGTATATGGTGGGGCTGAGGCTCCAAGGTAGATTTACCGTTTAAGAGCCTTTACTTCTGTTCTACAACAAAACGATCAATTATTACCGTTTTTTATCGCACGAATTCCGATCATATCAATTCCTCCAAAATGTGCAGCTTATCCAATAAAAAGGAGCATATTGCTAAATTTTGGGGAGGCGGAAGCACAAGATACTGCTTTCTATATGCTTGTATATGTTCATATGGTTGGCGACAGCGCCATCTATGAGACACTAACATCTTCAGTACATATATAGTGTTGGCAAATTATCATAGATAAAGGCCCCATATTTCATTTTGTCTTAAATATTTTTTTGAAATACATCATAAAAATAGATAAATAACTCATTTTTTATATGGTGCCCTAACTATACCAACAGTAGATTCCATATTCTTGATCTTTGTTAAAGCCTTTATATTTTGAAAACTCAGGAGCTGATAATATACAACATACAAATTTAGCCAATACCATGATCCCCTATATTCTAATTTCTGTGCTACTGATGTACCATTTAAGAATGAATAGAAAATGAATATTTTTCAAATAACATTGTGGAATTACTTTCTTAATATACTGAATACTATTTTCAATGTCAATCTACACTAACTCGAACGTCTTTTCAAAGCAGAATAGAATCTATTTTTAAGACAATTTTATGGGTATTACCTGACTTATTGCAATCAGATTTTCTCTGAAAAAGTGATCTGACAAAGATTTCTCAAGATAATATTCAAACATCAAAAATGCAATAGAAGTTTCAGTATCTTAAAAAATATCCATCTCCAAAGTGTTTTAAAAATAAAAGACCACAAGCTTTTCCATCAATATTTTTTGCTTTCAATATTACATGACTAATTAACTATAGCTGAGAAACATCAAGAAGTAGTTACCGAAAATGTCCAGATTGCTAATGAAAATGTACCTCAAGAAGATCTACAGAATGAAGTTCTACATGAAGAAACATTGGAACCAAGTACTACCATAGAAGAAAATCCAGAAGACAGTAATGCAGCAGTGGTTCAAAATATGGTAGAGGAAGTTATTGAAGAACAAGGTATGAATTAGTTTATTTTGGAAAGATGTTTATTTACCTCTGGCTGAAGCTTTAATTTGTTAAATCATTACCATTCCGTATAATCTAAAGTCAAAGACATTACAAACCCTCAAAAAACATAACCTTTTGGTAGAAGTATAGAATTAAATTTTCATTTTAGTTCCAGAATCCTCAAGTGAAAATCTAACTGAAGAACCTTCAACTGTAGAATCACAAACAGAATGTAGTGAACATACAGTACAAGAAGATACTGAAAATACTGACATCAAAAATGAAGCCCCAAATGAGTCCCCCATAAAGGATAAAGAGGAATTAGACGAGCAGCAGCAAGTTGTTGAAGAAACTGTAGTGAATGAAACTGTTCTTGAGGAGCCACAAATCCAACAGGAAGATCAACAGCTTGTCCAGGAAACAGATACAGGATCTGTTGAAATGCTTGAAGAGGTTGTTGATGATCCAGCTCCTGCTGAGACTTCCGGAGGTAAGAGAAATAGAAAGTAATTTTTTGATCTGCTTGGATAAAATCCAACTTTCTATTGCCCATATATATGTTTCCCCTCTTGAAATCATATTTTGATAATCTAATTAAAAAATAAGAATAGCACAATGTTTACTTATCTTTGATATGAGTTGTTTAACCAGTTTCCAAAATCGCTTTTTTGTACTGAGTAATTTTCCATTTGCTCCAGCTTTGCGAGTATTTAAATCAAATTGTAAATTACTGTAAAAACAAGTCGTGGAAGCAAATAACTGAAATAACATAACAAGAGTTTAGATACATTATGTTAGTTTAAAAACAAAACGAATCCTCATCAGTCCAATGTAAATATTCATAAATTAAACTTGAGAAAACACCACAAAAACAGTTTATAGTTTATAATAATATATATGTATAAACTTTAAAAAATAAATTTTATTAACAAATACATAAATGGTATTTTAATATGTATAGTGAACAAAAAGATTACTCGGGCTAACCTACAAAAACATAACCCCAAATACATATTTAGGGAATCAATTGTAATTCTCACACAGGAAAACTAATTCAGCAGCTTTTTCGGTTACCAGGCGACTTTGAAGTTCAGAATGTACCAAACCAAATGAACCATAGAAATCATCCGTCTCGCGTCAACCGCTCATTATAAAGACGAACGAGTTTTCTTGTTCCGATAGGAAAGCCACGGCACGCAAATCACGATTTGATTGAAAAAATCAGATTTTTAGATTTTATCAAAAGAATCGTGATTTTTGCAACACTGCTCATTCTAAATAGAGAAGTTTTTCTCCAATTTTTTTCTGTGAAGATTTCCATCCTCTAATAAAGAAATATTATATTTGACCACCATTGAAGCTCAAATATTTCTCTATAGTGACTCCGAAATTTAGGTATATCTTCAGAGTGAATTAAGATATTGACTTGAAATTTAGTGCACTTAGTACTGATATAGCCATTACATAAAAGATGTACGTGCGTGAGACTAACCAGTCGTGTAAAAATTTATTAATTGTTAAATATGAATTATTAATAATAGTTTAAAGAAACTAAAAAACACGCTTTAATACAGAATTTAACTAAAAAGTAGAAAATAATTTTCAAGTATGGGAGAGTTTGTGTTACAATACAAATTCAGTTATAGTAAAAAAGTTTGAGGTGCTTGATATTAAATGTTCTGAATTTTTAGTCTCAAATCGCCAACAAAAGTACTTATCAATCAATTTCAAAATTTACAATTTTTTTTTGAAATTTCTAAATTAAATTCCAAGATATTGTATTGTCACTGTAACAATTTTCAATGTAGTCAGACTTCTTAATAATTGGTGAAACTTAGGTTGGAAGATTACATTACATTTAGGTCAAGCTAATTCTTTATTCATATCCATTTGATACAAATTTGTATATGACTTCAAAGAAGTGTAATACAAGACAATGAAGATCAATAATTATGTAGTAATAAATATCAATAAATGAATAACTATTGGTACCATCCTTATGTACTTAATACTTAAGCACAAATTTGTTTTTAGACTACAAATACTCTCTCAATTCCATTTGAAAGCATGTTAAAAATTGGGACACTATTTTTTACGCCACTGACTTTTTTAAATGGCATTTGCATTTTTGAATAAGGTGCTCAATTTTACATGAATCGCCCATTTGTAAAAAAATGTCAGAATACTCCTTTTGGAGAAAAACGGGTTTGAATATTTGAGGTAAAATTTGTATAAGAAATATTAACCTGTTCTAAAAGTACGTTGAAAATGTGCTGAAGTTCATCAGGTTTGGTATTGAAATTTGTATGTAGTGCATTAGAAGAGTTATTTGTCCTCATCCAGTCCCATCAGTGGGATAGAAGTTTACAACACCCACTCTCGGAATGTCCGGGTGGAGGGTGAGCTCGAGGGAACAACATCGAAGAGAAAATTTGTTTTTCGAACATCTGCGGGATTAACAGCAACATTGATGCTATTCATCACTATCTGCAATCCAATCGTCCCGCCGTGTTTTTCTTGGCGGTGACCAAAATCTCAGAGTCTGCACCGATTAACCATCTTAACTTCCCAAACTACGAGGTGCACTCCAATCTGAGAAAGAACGGGGGAGTTGTGGCTTTTGTCCGCAGCAGTCTTTCCTGCTCCAGAGATGTTTCTTTGGAATCAGACCGGAAGGACATTCTGTGGCTTCGCGTCAACTCCAAAACATCACCCAAGTTTATTTGCTGCCTTTATAGCTCTCCCTCGGACCATAACTGGGATGACCTACTCGAATACCTCGCCGTCCAGATCGACTTCCTGAACATCAATCATCCCGCTTCAGAGGTAGTTCTTCTCGCTGATTTCAATGCCCATAACGAGCTTTGGTTGGGCTCAAACAAGACCGACGCAGCAGGTTGTGCAGTCGAAGCGTTCGCTCTTACCCAAGGGCTGACTCAGCTGGTGACGAGTCCTACTTTTTTCCCCCGCGTCTCGTCACACGCCAGTAGCCTTCTGGATCTCTTTCTGACCACGCATCCTGCCCCTTACAGCACTGCTGTCCTGTCCCCCCTGGGTAACTCAGACCACGGTGTTGTGGAGGTTAGGTTTCGGTCAGGACCCGCTGTGGCAGCAGAAACTCGTACAGGCCGCAAAACATGGCATTACGGACATGCCGACTGGGAGGGGCTCAGAGATTTCTTCTCTAGCTTTCCTTGGAAAGATGTCTGTTTCACTGACGCGGATGCGTCGGCTGTCTGTTCTTCGATAAGAAATTATCCACGTCGGAATGGAGGAATACATCCCTCACACAGTGAAAGTGCCTAGACCAGGGTCCAACGGCTGGTTTAACAAATTGTGTGACGCTGCTCGCCAGCAGAAGATCAAGGCACACAGAACCTACTTACAAAACCCCACTTTAGAGAACAGACAAGCCGACGTTGAGTCCAGAAACAAATATAAAGCAGCGGTTCGCAATGCCAAAAACCAGCATGATATAAAAGTTAGGCACAGGGTAATGTCGCAGCGCAATGGCAGTCGGTCTTTCTGGACGCTGGCCAAGCAGATTGAAAAGAACTTCTCACACAGTAGCCTTCCACCACTTACGTGTCAGGATGGAACTATTGTATTCAACTCAAAGGCCAAGGCGGAAGTGCTAGCCAAGATCTTTGCTGCCAACTCCACCATGGACGTCCCCCCCAACGCCCAAGTGCCGTCAATTCAAAGGGTTCCCTACACTATGCTTAAGGTAACATTCAGGCATAAGACCGTAAGACGAGTGCTCTTGTCGCTCGACATCAACAAAGCTTCTGGTCCGGACTTGATTCCTGCCATTGTACTGAAGAGGTGTGCACCGGAGCTTGCTCCAGTTCTTTCACGTCTCTTCCAGATATCTTATGAATCCGGCACCTTCCCAGAAAACTGGAAATTTGCTCATGTCCAACCCATCCCAAAAAAGGGATCTAAGACCGACCCTTACAACTACAGGCCTATAGCTCTGCTTTCTGTTTTAAGTAAGGTGATGGAGAGGTGCATAAATCGCGAGCTTCTGGACTACCTCGAACGTCACGGCTTGATTAGCGACAGGCAGTATGGTTTCCGGCACCAACGATCCACAGGAGACCTCCTAGCTTACGTCACTCAATTGTGGAGTAAATTCACCCAGTCTTATGGTGAGGCTCATGTCGTTGCTCTTGACATCACGAAAGCGTTCGATCAGCTGTGGCACGCTGCCCTCTTAAGCAAACTTCCAACCTATGGCCTCCCAGAAAAGCTTTGCAGATGGGTGGCTGACTTTATCTCTGGCCGCAAGATATCCGTCGTAATTGACGGGTTCTCCTCTTCATCCCACAACGTCAACGCGGGTGTTCCCCAGGGATCGGTCTTGTCTCCGACACTGTTTCTCTTACATATCAACGACCTCCTTTCCTGCACGATCAACCCAATCCACAGCTTCGCTGATGACAGCACTCTACATGCAGGAATTCAGAGTGACAAGCCGATCTCTGCCGCTGAGTTGGAAAAAAGAAGACTAGCGATGACTTCCTCTCTGACAAGAGACCTGGAGCTATCACTGCTTGGGGACGCAACAATCTTGTACAGTTCAATGCTTCCAAAACGCAGTACTGTACTTTGACGAACAAAAAGCGTCCCTGCGCTCACCCGGTTTCGATGGATGGTTGAGTTCTGCCAAAGAGCCATTCATTTCGGCTGGTCGGAGTCCAGATCACCGAGGACCTGATCTGGCACGAACACATCTCGTCAATAGCTGCAGCTGCTGGAAAAAAGCTAGGCTATTTGTTTAGGGCTAAGAAGTACTTTTCTCCGCATGACCTTCTCACTCTATACAAGGCCCAGATAAGGCCTAGCCTCGAGTATTGATCACACGTTTAGGGTGCTGCCGCCCCGACTACATTATCCATGCTCGATGCTGTCCAGAGGAGGGCGGTCCGACTGATCGATGACTCTTCTCTAACAGACAGTCTCGGGACTCTTTCGCACCGGCGGGCTGTCGGCGATCTGGCTCTTTTCTACCGTTACATCAACGGGCTTTGCTCCTCATGATGCCGTCGCGCGATCTGCCTGCCAGACAGACCCGCCTAACTTTGGCGTTCCATCCTAACCGTGTCGAACTTCGTACATCGAGAACCGGCCGATACGACCGCTTCTTTGTCCCGAGGGTGTCGAGATTGTGGAACAATCTACAAGAGGAAGCTTTTTCCAGTTCTATTAACCTTAGGCAGTTCAAAAATCGTATTAATAAAATTTCTTTGGGATCATCATAGCAGCCGCGGTGTTCCGGCATTTAGGCTTCTGCCTGCGCGGCTGCTTCGATATAAAAAAAAACCCTGCAGCTTGGTAATGGGACATTTTAGGATCAATATTTACAGGGGCTCTTTGTTATTTTTGTATGTAATTTCTGCTCTAGAAATATTGCCACGTTTTTCTGAATCAATCTGTATAGGATTTCCCAATTTTACTTACCGCGAGGAAGTAATCGTAAAAAAATCGAAAAAGAGATATTACGTCTTTTGGATGTTATATGACATGAACATCGTGGTGGAGGCCACTGCCGACAGCGCAATGGGTATCAAATTCCAACCGGTCTGCGGTCGTTACTGACACACCACAATGTTACTACTGTGCCAAGGACGCAAAAGCTTTGTAGTTTTTGAAAATTGGTCCAATGGCGGTAGAGAAAAGGCCAGGAACGAAAAAAAAAACAATAAAATCCGATCAAACTTAGTTTTTTGATGTTTCAGAGGCTCCTGATCATTTTGGACAAAAATTTTGAAATATTTAAAATTTGGGCATTACGAGTTGTAGGGGGTAGTGGGTTGTTAATGTTACGTCTTTGGTATCAGGCAAAGGCGTTCTGTCATTGAGGTAACAATGGGACAATTGAATGATAAAAGGTCCGATGTATAATGTGCTCATAATTATAATATAATGAACTTTCATTTGGCGTTGCGTGCGAGATGCGATACTGCGACTCTGCATCGTCGTGCAGGCGACTGTCAACTATAACAATCCCAATAAATAGGTAACTCGAACTCGATGTCGACCCCGGACTCACCGCTACACAGCTTCAGGGGAATATTTGCATATTTTAGGAATATTTGGGTATTAGGAATACGTACCACATTAGCGTTCTGCAGTGCTTTTGAAAATGATGACTTCATTGTTTGTTTATTAATATCTATCTACACATATATTTTTGTGAATTTTTTGATTTTTAAGTGTACCCGCCCATTTCGCCTAACCTTTAATTTGTGTTACTCAGTGTATGATGGTTCTCTGAATATTTTGTCAAGTACTTATTACGCATTGATATAAAACAGACACGGAATGAAAAACTGACATAAATGAGAAACACGAACTTGTCTGGTGCAACGGAAGTCTTGTGAACTGAAGTTCGAATATTACTGCGAGTTCAAAACTGACATCGTTTAGGTTTAGGTAGTCGTAGATTTTGAAAATTGATTCGGTGGCGGCAGAAACACAGAAAAAAAATACTAACATAGTGTTACATCATTTCAGAGATGCCTGCTCATTGTGTGGAGGGGTTAAATATTGTAGGTTGCAAGCTGTATGCTGTAAGTGGTTGTAAATTGTTGGATGTTTCGTTTCAGTGAAAGACCTTCAATTAATACGAATTTTCCCTACATCTGTCATAGACACAGAAATATGATAGATTTATTTTATATAGTTTGATATGTACAGGTCGAAGATATATCGTACCTAAGTAAACATACCTAGACAGGGGTAAATTCGTTCTTTTGAAACGACTTGACCAGTCCCTTTTCTTTGAAATCGCCAACGGAGGTGTAAAAAGTATAGAGTCAATCTACTTGGCGCCATTTTGTCAATTAGGATTAGAAATAGTCAGCTTACCATAACAACTTCTTAATCATGTCGTTTCTCAGGCCCAGATCCACTGCAAGTCCAAGAAGAGACTGCCCAAGAACCAGATGACACTTCTCACCAAGAGGACCAATCCGCCTACATGTCTGAAATTCGCGAGGAGGCCAACTCACGGCTCTCTGTGGCTTCCAGCACTTCCAGCCAAGGAAATAGGCGATCGACGAGGAGGACGTACCAGGATATGCCGCTTCACCTTGTCGGGCACAGCATCACGAAACCGGGGGAGAACCAGCTGAATGGGAAGCCCATTCCTAAGCCTAGGTTGGGGGTCAAGGTTCCTTATTGGTTAGTAACACATACACATATACATTCCTCTATGGCTCAATTTGAGGTGAAAAAATGGGTCACCTAGGAGCCCTGAAACCCTCTGTGGGTTTTACCAATTACCAAAATAACGAGTTTGATTTGCCCTGGAAGCAAGGTTTTTGAAGATTTATCTCGTGGGAAACCTCGAAAAATGTAGGACTTTGAAGGTAGATATTTTAGTTTTTGTCTTCCATTGTTATTTAGCGATGGAAGTTCAGTATGCATAGGTAAGTACGCCGGTTCTCCGCCCAATAAAATTTTGACAAAAAAATTACTTTTCATCATGTATATAAAATACCTATTTGACCACAAACTGGACTTATCGAATCCTCTTCTTGACCAGGGTAAAGGTCAGTTCAAGGTCAGCTTTAGGTGAAATTTTTGAGTTTTTGAAATCAGTAAACGGACATCTGACGCATAAATATCATTCTTATAGCTTTTTATGGTCGCAGAGTCCGAATCTGAGGCCGGTTTGTCCGTATCAAATCATTTGAAATCCATGTGAATATCATATCAAGGTCAAATTGAGACAATGTCTGCTAGACCTGCACGTAGGATTTTGTGGTTGCTGAGAGCAGATTCACGTATTGGGTCGTTTGAGGTGCGTAAGATTAAGGTCATTTTAACGTCAAATTGAGATAATGCCAGGGAATTGAGTCTACTATATCTTTTCGGAAGTATTTGGTGTCGCCGAGTCCGAATCTGAGGTTAGATCTGGTAGTCTTGATTTCCTGACATTTACTCAATATGTCTTTCAAGGTATGTTTTGTGGTATTATGTAAGTCAGTACCCAAAACAGGCTCCGCGTGCTGGGAATAACCACCTACTCTACCAATAAGTCGCATTTGAAAAATCGAGATTGGCACATTTCTAAAACAATAATGTAGTTATCGATTTGATGTTGTCGTGAGTGTAGTGAGCACGTCGTCCTCGATGTTTTCATCAGGGCTGCGTAGGTTTGTTTATATCGTGCAAAAGCCAGGCGGACACAGCAGAAGACAGCCCCCAAATAGAGGAAGAAGTAAACAGACTCGCCTTTTTCAATCGAATAACACAACCTCCAGTACTATTTACAAACAAAACATGTGACTGGGCAGTTGGGTAATACATGAAATTTTTTTACCAAATGAATGGTGAGCATTTTTCTTCAATTTGTTTTTACGTTTTCGATGCTTTGTGCCGCAAATAAGCTTTGTTATTTCAAACGTAGTTGTTTTTGAAAAGGAAGGTTCTAACTTTCAGGACATCCTGATATTTTTTTCAAAATGACTGTCAAATAATAAGGGCCCACAAGTGTTGTGGAGCCAAATTTCGTAGTCAAAATAGGTCAAATAGCAAGCCCAGCGAGCTGCGTGAATAAATTTTAAAAGCTCCTTACCTAAAGCAACTTCCTCGTCTGTTACGTGATTGTAATCTTTATTCTAGGAATCTGTCAAGCCAGATGCTCAGCAAAGCCGAAATCGAGAAGGAAATTCTTGAAAGAAGCAAAGTAAAACAAGAGCAAGCATCCTCAGCAAACTTTGCCAGAAGTCTCACACAAAGGCTGTTTAAGAAGATTGCAGATAATGACAAACCTGATGGTGATGAGGAAGATACTAAAACAGAAATGGTACTGCCTAAATAGATTCAATTTAGAGTTTCACTTTGATTTTTTTCCATTTCTATCATCAGAACTGATTCGTTTTTTCCAAAATGGTAACTGATACTTTGGCATGATTTATTTTACCAACTATGTTGCAGTTGCTCAATCATATTCCAGATAAATATTAGTTTTGCATTGTTACCAGTGGAACATATACTTTGTATGTTTCTGTAGGGATCAGCTTAGCTTCTATTTGGTACAGGGTGTTTCTTAACTGAGTGTTGATATTTAAGAGTGGGATTTTTTGGTATATTAAGAAGAAAACTCCGTAAGAGCATATATCCTAAACGTCTTAATTTTTGAGATACAAGGTGGTAAAGTTTTACAAAAATATCTGTCTGTAGTATCTGTAAATGCTACTTTAGATATTTTGATGAAACTTGGCATACATGTACTACGTAAAAAGAGGCATTTTTCAATGCACTACATTTTTTTCACCAGTGGCGTTCGTTCGGAATTTCACCTGCCTATTCTGGCAGTCATTGGCTGTACACCGCTGGAAAATTTGATGCATGTTTGAAACACTTTCTATGCATGATTTAAACAATATCGTTAGTATGCAGAGATATAGCTTTTTCTAAGGTGAATACCGTACGGTAGACAAAAAATGCAAGAGATCAATTCTGCTCATAAATGAATATAGATGTCATCTTTTTTTTTTTTTAAGAAAAGTCAGTGACGTGCCACAAATGTTTAATATTTAACAGTACTACTGGGTCTCAAAAGCTAACACGTTTATATGGAATTTGCTTATAATGGACCCAAAAATCGTTTCCATAAATATCGACAATTGATATGTTACATTGTTTTATTTGATACAGTAAAACAGAATCATGTAACTTTGAATCCTTGACTTGTTTTTTGTTCAAGGAGATAAGTACTACTTCTTCTAAAATTGTCAAATATTTGTTTGTATCCACATTTCCATCAATAAAATGAAGTTTTCGTACTCATTTTGATGACATACTTCCCCAGACCATAATGGATGCTGGAAATTTAACTTTTCTCTTCAGACAGTCAACGTGGAATGCTACATTTTTTTGCGAATAACTCTACTGCGACTGTCACCAACACAAACTTCGAATCGGGCCTCATCGCTCCATTGTTGAGGTGTCCATTGTCTATGTTCTTTAGCCCATCTAAGCCGATTTTTCTTTTGCAGTGGAGTTAATAGTGGCTTTTCTTTGGCCTATAAACAAGTTGTGCAACTTTAGGGTTTTTACTTTACTTTTTTTTATAAGAAACCTTACCTGTTAATATTTTAAACCTATAACAACCTGCTACATTTTTATTATTTGTGTTTGATAAGAAAAAAACTAAGATTTCAATAGTTGAGCCAACTGAAGTGGGAAGGTGCTCGTATATATAGGTATATAAATAGTTCATAATAATGTTCATATTTGTTTCCAAACTTTTGTTTGCTACTGTATACTAGCCTCCATTGAGAGACATAACATGGCAAATTTCCGAGATGCCTCCAAAAATCCGAACATATATAGACAGGTCTATACTTTTCAGTAGTCGGTTGTCGTATCTATACAGCTTCTCCTTAAGGTTGCAACATACATTTCCGAGATGCGTTCAAAAATCCGGATATAAATCGATTTTTAAGTAGTTGTTGGTCGTATCTATACAGCTTCCCCTTAAGGTTGATAGAACACTCGCTCCTCGGGTCATTATCAGGAGAAATAGCGTACCCGTTGTCCATCAGTCTCATTTTTAAATACGAAGTTAACATGTTAATAATGTCTTTCATAAGTGTGGATGAACATTTCTACTTTTTGTTCAGCAGTGTTTTATCGTAGTCTCGTTTTCCTTTTTTGTACCATTGTGAAATCATCGTTCATATTTTTATCTTCCGAATTTTGTGATTGTCCCTGGTTTGTAATGCGGTTGGTATTTACTTATTTGGTTACTTTGTCATTTTTTCTAACTGTTCATCCGTTAAATGAATACTCATTGTAATTGAACCTCATCAAATTTCGTTTTGGAATTCAAAAAAATCCTATTTATCATAACTGCTGTATCCATTCTGGAATCGTCACACGTACAGGAGATTGGTAGCGTCTAGTGACTTGTAAATAATAAATTGATAAACATCAAAACAGATGTGAGAATTTGTCAGAAAGGTAATAGAACGCTTTCTGCTTTTGTTCTATACCTATCATTTTGAGAATCGACTCCTCCCAGCATGATCAAATTCATTTCTCCCCAGGAAGATAATAGTAAACCGAAAATTGATGCTCCGTCGGAAAACTCGAAAATCAAGGACGACTGTGACCTTTTGGCGATTCTTGAAGGAGATGACGCTGACATGCCTGAGTTGACCAAAGAGAAGACATCTGTTCCTCAAGTTGATGAGGCTAACCTCAAAGCACTGGAAAGAGAGATTGCCTTGCAACAGTTAGAGGAGCTACCATTGCAGGTAAAACCTTTTTTCTACTTCTACATGAAAATAAAAATGATGATGAACCTTGTTATGATTCATTTTTTATCTTCTATCGATTATTTACGTTAATATAATACGGTAAACTCGTATTTTATTCATGGTAATGTCTATTTATTTTAAATTAAATATCTAAAGCTGCAATGATTTAAATGTCGCATTTTTGGTGTGCTTTGCAATCACGTCATAACCCTCGACATGTTATTTCATTGCTTTTTTGGTTAATGAGCTGTCAAGTTTCAAAAGTTTCATTGCTTAGCAATATAGACTAAATAAAAATAATTAACCAATATTTGAATCACATGCATATTTCCTATTGGCGAGGAAGTAAAAACTAGATAAAATCCTTATTTACTCTGTACTTTTCTAAAAAAACAATACATTATACAGATTGAAAGACGAAAAAAATTTACACTTACTCTTCCAGTCATCCAAACGTCACCTAAAAAGAACAAAGACTATAACGTCTAGTCCTGAAACACAACCCAAAAAGTATGCTGTATCACCCTCAAGTAGTGCCCAGGATTCAAAATCTGTACCAGGAAAGGAAAACAGTTCTTCACCAGTTATCAAACAATCTTCGAGTATAGATTCATCGCCCAAGGTATGGATCAACAAATATAGAACGAATACAAAATAGTGTTGGAAAAACTCTTCAAACCGAGGCTTTTCAGCATTTTACAGACCTTAGGAAACGACAAATAATTTCTTGACTATTATAGTTTTTTATGATTTCGTAAAATTCAATAATTCAGGTATCATTTACTTCAACAAAAAGTTTTAAAAGAAAGCACAGCTTTAGTTCTTTTTGAATAACATCTTAATGTATTTGTTTTTGTTTTTTTCTTTCAGAAAGAAATTGTTGATGTGGAGCCTCAAGTCAGAGTAAATATGGTTCTGAAGACCTATTCGAGAAAAAGAAAGGCGGATGACACCATCGATACAACTCCAAAGCAGCAATCTAAAAAACTGGCATTGGAAGAAGCACAAGTTAAGAAAGAGGATGTCTCAACACCTCAGGGAGTGTATATTACCAAGAGCTCAAGGGTTATCAAGAAGAAGGTCATATGGGATCCTGACGACGAGGTAAAGATGTTAAACTATTAAATTCTTTTTGAAATACGGTTCTGATCAAAGTACATCCCGGCGCTGGATGTCTGAATACTACTTGTCTCAACAAGTCAGCTGAGACTATCCTCCCATGTTTTTTATAAGAACTGTGTGTAAAGGAAACTTCTAACTTTAACCCTGTATTTCTAAGGCCCTTACATTTATTAATAAAATGTATAGCCTAGAGGTGCTTCTAGGATTCAACCCACTTTTTTCTCTTTTATCTACAGGTGTCTTCACGGTCTCCAAAGCCATCAAAATCAGCCGATTTTATCCCTGCTTCCACTCCTAAACCTACAACCGAAAAACCTGCTGAGAAGAAACCATCCTCTGATAAGCAAGCAAAAAAGGCAGTCATAGTAAAGAAAGATAAGCCTGCTGCAGCTGATACAAAAACTGCAGCAACTGACAAGAGGCCTGCTCCCGCTGAAAAGAAACATGTTGCTCATGATAAGAAACCGGCCAGTAGTGAAAAAAAGTATGTTGCAGCTGAAAGGAAAGTAGCAAAGAGCAGTCCTAAACTCAAACCTAAGAAACCTATGAGTGAGCTAGACAAGCTTTTGATGGATGAAGGTTAGTCTTTTCCTGTGTTGATATTATGACGTTTTTCTTTTTAATTAAAGGTGCGGATCAAATCTTGGAGCCATCCACTTTTTCAGGGTTTAGGTAAAACTTTTTTGTTTAAGTGATTCTTTCATTATTCAAATAAAATCGAATATCAAGACATGCTTTCGCTCATGTTATATTTTGTATGAATAATTTTTGAACTAAGCAGAAACTAAGTTCTCGCAGCGGGAAATACGTCATTATTATCTTTGTTGTTATATTTAAGAACACATCAACATCCCATGGTAGGACATCTTTCTGACAGTTAATAGTACTTTTTCCAAACTGTAATCTGACATTTAAGCATTGTTATTGATTATAGTATTCAACCTGTAGATATCCGACCATGTCTTTCAGCGTCCAAAAAATTAACGGAGATAAAGTGAGTTATGCTGACGTCATCTTTGAGAATTTGTCATGGCTAGGTTACTCCTCTCCTTAATAATTAGAAATCGACTTTGAAAAGGTTGATGTCTCATGAATAATGATCTAGCATCACATTTTCAACGGTTTAACACCCGATTGTGAACTTGTTTAACGCGTACGCGTTATCGAAATGCTACTTTCAAACGGTTTCAAATTTATTTCTGCTAGAATACATATTTTGTCAAAATACGTTTGAGTTGACAGTGACAGCATCGTATTAGACATATAGATGATATTCTCCGTTCCTTTCCTCAAATGTTAGGCCATTGAATTACAGTACCAGATATACTGCTGAAGAACTTGATTAAACGTCTTTTTCTGTAGAATGTAATATTTAGTGTTCTGCAAACCTCAAAAAGATGAGTGTTTTCTCATAAACATGAAGTTTCTCATTGCATCCAGTCGCCTTTTGAAGAACACGCTGAATTCGTATTTAGTTAAGACATCTTCAGCCACTTTGCGAGTAACTGAAATGTTCCATGAATTCACTTCCATTAAAGAGGCGCTGTTACATTTGTGTAATGCTCATGGACCTAACGGCCTTAGGTCGAAATGAAAGGTCAGGTTCGCCACAAATTCCGCAACATTGCATCATGGTTCGTTTGATAACACCGCATCTTGTACAAGTCAAGGTTTCCACCTCCATGATCGATTGAACGATTTTGATCAGTACCATCTATCGCTCGTATTTGTTACATTTTGCAACGGCGCGGCGCTGCGAATGTGTTGATTTTATCTCGATCGGTAGAAATCAAAGATATCTAAAATAAATTGAAACATTAAGTCGCATCAGAATTTAAGTAAATAATTCTTATCAAAATGAAAACAAAATATTAAATCAAATGTTCCAACAGACCTCCTGCTTGGGTTGGACAGTAACCTAACCTATTGTAGAAGCATGTGCGAACATTTTCTGGGGTAATATATGGGCAACACGGCAACCGGCTTCTATCTCTTTCTAACATGTTTCGCGTTTCTCTCTCGTACACATTGAACTCAAGCTGTCAGAGATTTTGTTTTCCCTATAGTGTATCGGCAACATTACAGCGCCAAAAACAATGAAGGCGTCATGATAATGCAAAATTGAGCGGAGTTTGATAAGGGAAGTGAATATTTATGTTACTCAAAGTGAATATTTATGTTACTCAAAGAGCAAAAAATCCAATAGGCGGGAAAGTATTGTAATCCCGAAAAAATTCGGAAATGATGTTATGACATGTACATCATGGAAAACCATGTCCCTCATTTCCGTCGGCCTGTCTGTCCGCTAATGTTTGGACTACTTCTAACTTGGAGAGTACTGCGCGGATTTGGATGAAATTTTCACATAAGGTTACTACTATGCCAAGGACGAAAAAGCTTGATTTGGAATTCGGTCCAGTGGCGGTGGAGCTAGGGGCAAGAACACAAAGAAATCGATCAAACTCCGTTTTTTGACGTTTCAGAGCCTCCTGATCATTTTCAGTGAAGTTTTTGCCGGAGTTAAAAGTATGAAGTTGGGCGTTGTAGAGGGTGGGGGAGAGTATATGTCAATTTTTTAGTGCTAGCAATAAATATGTAGGTAATTCTACTCACCTATCAGACATATTTCGTAAATAAAAGATTTCCCCGTACATTTGCCCTTAAAAGTTAAATTATAAATGTACATAATAGTAATAGCTTTTATTGTCCACTAGAGACATAATCCCTTCACATAGCAATATAAAATAAAAACAACTATAGTACCCACAGATATGACCTATTCTTAGCAGCACACTTTAGTTCCTTGAGCTTACAATTGAATACGTCAACATGCTGCGATAACTCATTATAATGTGGACACGTTTCTGATAATGGTGATTTCAACATTAGATTTGTCCTGGCAGCAGTAGAATAAAATGTTAGTGATTGTCTAGAGTCAGCAAGATCTGGACAATCAATACATACTCGGTTCCTTGTTCTGGATATTTGTGGTGCATACAAAAACCTCCTTTGTAGTTTATCCTGCCTTTCCTTGTGACACTGATAGTATGGGACTAGGCATTAGACCAGTACTTCAGCTTAGAATGTACATAAAAAAAATAAACATTTCAATGCTGCTTCACTATTGAATGATCGACAATTTCGAACTATGAATCCATACATTTTATATGCTTTAGCAATTTTGTTATGAATATGATTAATGAAACTGATTTGCCAATCGAATAATAAATACTCCTAGATCTTTAGTGGATAAATGACGTTCCAAAAAATACCTTCATTGTTGTACTTAAATAAGCTGGTACTTTTTACCTTGAGAAAGTGACTATTTTAAACCTAACAATTTTTTTTGAGCATGACCTGTAACCTACCACAATCTATAGCAGTTCTTTCACAATATACTTTGAGGTCATCAGCATTAAACAATTTTCGAGTTTCAATCACATCCAAATCACTAATGAAAATATTAAAAATAGTAGTGGGCCTAAGTTTGAACCTTATGGAACACCTGAGTTTGCATTATATGTGTTAGCATTGTACCCATTGTATATACATTTATCTTTGATGTGCGCGTACCCTGCGACCCAACGAGCGCGCGCCTCTGTGCCTTGGATCGAAAGGGATGACTGAGCTATCATGCATGTTCTCGTGTATAACTCCGAGCTGAATTGCGACTATGGACTGATTGTATGATTCATTTAATTCTTTTATACAGGTTCATACCCCATGTTTTTCTAAGAGGGACTAACTTGTGCCGAATATAATCCCTTATAGATTGATGACAGCATTGCGTAGGAAGTGAGGAGTCAATATGCTTGATGCCATTTTCTAATCTAGGGAAAGGAATACTGTATGTCTCTGATAAATCTAATAAATTCAAGAGTAAATTTTCCCGGACGAACCTATTTTTGTCAATAGTATTCTTTTGAAAAATTGAACAAAGAGTTATTTATATTCATGAAACTAGGTGCTGTGAAGATGCTCTACGAACTGAAGAACAATGATGAAAGTACGCCTTCGCCATCAAAGAAGCAAAAGAACTTCGTATCCGTGGAAAAGGCTCAAAAAGAGATCATGAAAAAAGCAAACGAAATCAAGAATGACTTGGTCGTTGGAGGGGAAGGCGCTAAGTCTCTCAGGAAGAAAGAAGGTAATGATAGTGATGTGTTCTAGTGTGGTATGTACTGATTAAGATGCAAAAATAAACGATTCTAAATATTTGGTATATTTTTCACCCCTTTGAAATGTGACAAAAGCTCATTTTGATCTCGGCTAACTATGCTGGTTACGTCTTTTATGGAAGTTTCGTTCATTTTTTCTCTAAGATAGTCTGGTATATATAATTCTATAGCAGGACGATATCCTACCTGGTATTTTTAAGCTTGGAATGTTTGTATTCAGTAATTAATGCCTCATTTTTTCAGCCTCTCTTTTGCAAACTGGAATAGAGTTTCAAGGTAATTAACTCTCTCAATTTCGAGTAGGAAATTTGAATGTAGCATTTGAATGTTTTGGACTGCTTGCAATCGATTATCAATTCAGGAAATGGAATCCCGAATTAGTATATACTGTTATCCATTCTACTCATGGTGTGTACTGTGCACGATGTTTTTATCTTAATATTTCATGGATAGGTCCACCTCCAGCAGCTGTATCACCTGTGAAACCAACATTAGAAAGGAAGATGTCCAAGGATTCTGTGAGGAGTTCAGTCCATACTCCTCCACCTTCTCCTTTTATGCATTCTCACAGCTCTATGCTCATCAGAAGAAGGTAAAAAATAGCTACCACAAGTTACTGTAAAAGTGTTCTCTCTCCTAAGAAGAAACATGCCCCTAGAGCCCAATTTTACTAACAGGGGCGCAAAATTTGCGCATAAATGAATTTGGTCAGTAACGCGTAGAATATAAATTAGAGAAAAATTATACAATTTGTGTAAGGCATTATCATATTATATCAAGAAATACTTCATATATCACATGGTCTAGCTACAAGAACCTGTTTTTGTCTTTAGCGACCTAGACACAAATTCGGCCAATCAAAAAGGATTTGCGATTTAGTCCCAAATTCGAACAATCAAAAAGAAGGCTTTGTGCCCTGCACAAAGCATGGATCAAAATTGATATAATGTTTTAGATTGATATGACAGCAATTACTGAGCATTTTATTGAAAATAACAGTGTCACTACATACTTACCTGAGATATATTTCATCATGTCCATTGAATTGCAAATTGTCTGTGTTGGGCGATATTTATTAGATAAATACTTGCAATTATTTATAATAAAGGTGTGCATGAAACTTATGTTTTATTTTGTTAACATATCTGTATACAGGGTGTTTCAAATTCGACCCCCACCATTGGGATCTCGGAACCGGTAAGAGATACGAAGTCGCTTAAATGGGGGCAAAGTTGCGTATTTAGGTAACCGAATTTTCCCAAAATCGTTTTAATTTTCTCCTGACTTCACTTATAGTGGGATTTTAGAATAAATAGCTCGTTAACATTGCCACTTTTTCTCCTTTACGGGTTCGCAGAATTAGAATGTTGATGTGACGTTTCGTCTCTTGCCCTCCAGCATCAAATTATTTTTTCTTATAGGTCAATAGGATTTTTACACAGGTAAATAGAGTTTATAATTCGTCTGGATACACACACAATTTGCAAGCGATAGCAGCAAACAGTTGTTCATATCTACAAACTACATTATACGGCAATTTAATGGACAGGTTGAATTGTTGAAAATATATTGTTTTAAAATCATCTCTCAGGTAAGTAGTGACACGGTTATTCTCAATAAAATGCTCAGTATTTGCTGTCTTTACAATCTAGAATGTTGTGACAGTTTCAATCATTCAATCCATGATTCGAGCAGGGCACAAACCCTTCCCTTTGATTGGTCGAATTTGCGACTATATCGCAAATCCTTCTTTTTGATCAGACGAATTTGTGTCTATGTCGCAGATTTTACGTCCGGACTGAAATGAAAAAATAGGTTTTTGTAGCTACACCAGATAATATATGAAGTATTTCTTGACATAATATGTGAATTAGGGGCCCATCTTACACAAGTCGTAGATTTTTTTTTAATTTGAAAGATATTTTACGAGTAATCGATGAAATTCATTAGATGCATTACTTCAGAAACGTGTTTGATTCCCATGGGTCAATAATAAAAAATTGGAATCATTCAATTATGTGGCTATACACGGTGTCCCGAAATAAGTGTGCAATATTCTACCAGCGGTTTCTAGAGCTTAAAATAGGAAGAAAAGTTTATATTAACATAGGTCCACAAAAGTCCCCTAAGGGCGCTACGGTCTTTTAAAGGGGCTCCCCTGAAGATGGTTTTTCCTTGATATTTGCGAAACGTGTTGAGATAAAGACATAAAATTTGGTAGTCTAGCCTAGTTTTTTATGCTGAATTTAAAAATATCAACAATTTTAGACAGTTTTGTTTGGAAGCGTATGTAACAGGGACGGACTCAGGTTATTTTAGCCCCAAAACTTTTGTGTGATTCTATTTTTGAAATTCAATTTTAGAATTTGAAAATTTAGGGTTTTCTACATAAAAAATGTACTCTTATTTTTGAATAAAATCAAACTAAAAAATTTGTCACATGATAGGAAATGTACTGCGAATTTAAATGAATTGTTGAATAATTAGCCATGGCAACGAAAAAACTAATTTAATAATTGGTAAATATTACATAATTACATATTTCTATTGCAACATAGCTAACATTTAGGCAAAAACAAAAGAAATAAATTTTTTCTACGAACGAAATTGAAATTTGTTTAAAAAAGTAGACATACAGTTGAATATACTTTACAATAAGTGTTCAAATAAATTCCCATTTTGTTGGATACAGAGTCTCGCTCGACGAACTAATGATTGCGTAGCCCGAAAACTGGAAAACCTTCATTTGCAGCCTCATGGATTCTTTGAAGTAAATCTTCTTGAGTATTTACTTCAGTCGAGTAAACTAGGTCTTTTAATGACCCCCCAAAAATAGAAATCCAATGGATTTAGGTGAGGTGAACGTGGCGGCCACGCTATAGGACCTCGAGGAGGTCTAACCACTGTCTGGAAAATTGACATTCAACCAATTTTGAACATTGCGTCCAAAATGTGCAGGGGCGCCATCATGTTGAAAAAACATATTTTGTTGAAACTGCTGGCGCACATCCATTGGTATTATATCCATGAGCTCATTCTGAAGAAAGTTCAGATACACCTCTGAATTAAGACGATTGGAAAGGACAATAGGCCCAATTACTTGATCCCCAATTACTCCTGCCCATAAGTTCAATGAAAATCTATGTTGGAAATTTGTACGGCGAACAACTTTTGGATTTTCATCTGACCAGTGATGCATGTTATCGAAATTAAAAGCACCATTCCTAGTAAATATTGACTCATCCGACCATAATATTCTGGGAATAATGTTTTCATTTGCTAATATCCACTGGCAAAACTCGATTCGTGGTAAAAAATCTACCTCCGTTAAATGCTGCACCCGTTTAAAATGATAAGGATGTAATCCTTGCATTCTTGTCATTCTTCCTATCTAAAATTATTATTTATAGGATAACTATCAAATAGGTATTCATAAATTTTTCTTACTATTGGTCGAGGTGTATCCATAATTTCTGAAACATTTCGTATGCTTATTTGCGGATTATTTTCAAACATATTTAAAGCAATATCCATACGATGATTTCCCAGTGGCCTTCCTGAGCCCTGCATGCCCTGAAAACTTCCATGGTTTGACAAATTCCGGTGAATATCAGTAAACATTCGACGTCCAGGTACTATGCGATTGGGAAATCTTCTTTGATATTCTCTTACGGCTACCAATGAACTGCCATTGCAAAACTCGTACACAAAATGCATGTCAGTCAGTTCTCTGTCTGTAAATCTTGACATTTTAAATCGATTTAATAAAAATTTTGATGTCAATCTAGTAATTTTATACTGCTAACAATGTCAGCTTAACGTCAAAATAAGTCATAACAAATCAAAACAACTTTTGTTTGCAGTCATGGCTAACTATGTATAATCAACAATTCATTCAAATTCGCAGTACATTTCCTATCATGTGACAAATTTTTTAGTTTGATTTTATTCAAAAATGGCACAATTTATCTATATTCAATAAGTACCCTTTTTATGTAGAAAACCCTAAATTTTCAAATTCTAAAATTGAATTTCAAAAATAGAATCACACAAAAATTTTGGGGCTAAAATAACCTGAGTCCGTCCCTGTTACAAACGCTTCCAAACAAAACTGTCTAAAATTGTTAATATTTTTAAATCCAGCATAAAAAACTAGGCTAGAATACTAAATTTTATGTGTTTATCTCAACCCGTATCGGAAATATTAAGGAAAAAAATCTTCAGGGGAGCCCCTTTAAAAGACCGTAGCGCCCTTAGGGGACGTTTGTCGACCTATGTTTATATAAACTTTTCTTCCTATTTTAAGCTCTAGAAACCGCTGGTAGAATATTGCACACTTTTTTCGGGACACCCTGTATATGTGGACAGTAAAGTACTGTTACAAGAGCATTAATGCATTATTTCAAAAAGGATAAATTACTTCTATAGAGTTTTCCATAATCTCAGTATGTATTCCAAAAAAAAAAATGTGTATAACACTGTAATTCTTCCCCATTTTTTATATTGTTCATCTATCTTGTTTACAGCAAATGAAAACATTTTCAAGATTACAAATTCTACAAAATTAAGCATGAGAATCATTTTAAATAAAAAAAATATTCTAAGATTAAGTCTATGTTGAATGTACAAAATTTTATGTTATTTAGTTCTCATTTTCATATTCATTCATTCATACGAAATTAGTTTTTGGTATGCAAGATTATAATAGCATAACTAGCAAATTTGTATTTTAAAACGGAGTATTTGATTGTAATAAATTGAATAATTGATATTAAGAAGTGTTCGAATTTGAAAATGTAAAGTGAAATAATTAAAAAATCACTTTATGAATACTCAAAATGCATAGTGATGTAATTTTAATAGACAAGAACCTAAAATTACAGAAAATTGATTCAAAACATGTGTAAATAAATAATTATATAAAATTGACATTGTAGCATTAATGCTGAATAAATCTTCAACAAACAAACAGACGACTTCAAGACATGGTACTTCGTAAATAATTTGCGGCACAAGCCTAATGAAGATGTTTCCCAACTGTATTATTATTATTATGTTGATACAACCTATCACTTTGGTAGACAAATGAGTCAAAAGTAAGCACTTAGGCCCGTATCGTCAGTCGTCCCTACAATTGTAGGGCGCCTTTATGACCTCCTTAATTGTCATAGTTTTCTACTTCTCCGTGTCAGCCATATCATGTTTTATCAGCCTGAAATTTCCTAGAATTTAAAAAGAAAACATATCTTCACAATAGGAGAGCGCTGACGCTGACACGAGACAAGTGTAATCTAGAAATTTTTTAAGGAGAGAAAGGCGTATGACAAGGCCATATAGGCGCCCTACAATTATAGGGACGACTGACGATACGGGCCTAAAACGACGCAATTTTGACGACAAACAATTCATTGTAAACATATAGGCTTGGCTCCTGACCTGTTGGTTGGGCCTAAAAACCTTGTTTTTAGTTTTTGCTAAAAAACTTTTGAACTTTTGAACGACATTGCATAATTAAACAACATTTTTACATTTTCTCATACAATACTGACGCACCTGTCGGTGTCTGCGCCATCCCTTTCCGTTTCCTCTCTTGAACTTTGTATGATGTTTTTCTCTGATTCTTCAGGTCCAGCAGTTCGATATCCAGCAGCGACGACTTGGACTCGGATGCGCCCAGATCAACAAAGCGGCGCAAGAGCAAACGAAGTACGGATGAACTCAACATAACGGAAAAAGACCCGCTGGCGTTGGACGCCAGAGATGATAGTGACATTGACAGCAAGACGATCCAGGGGCATAAGCTGTTGAACGTAAAGAAGAGCAACAAACAAGTCAGTGTGGAGTTGAATTATCCGGATAACAGGTGTTTGATGACAGAAGGGGTGAGTTTTTTCACCTTAACCACCAAGAATCTAAGGGCTATGTAACTGTGGTCACTATTTTTGACAATGAACATAAGATAATTATAGTTAAAAAACTGAAAATACGCTCTAATAGTAAATCGAACTAAAAAGTAGAAAATAATTTACAAAAATCCAGTGATAGTAAAAAGCATGGGGTGCTTGATATTGTCAGAATTATTTTTTTAGTTTAAAAAAATGGAGCTATTATCAAGATATAGTTAATTTTTTTTTATAATTGGACTTTTTTTAAATTAATTTCCACTTTTTTGTTCGATTTGCTATTAAAGCGTGTTTTTGTTTTAGTTTTTTAAGCTATAATTTATTTTCTGAATGTTTACCGTTAAAACAACAAACGTACTTATCGGTTTTTTTTTCCAAAAAAAATTCCAATTTTTTTTTCAAAATCCCAAAAAAGAATTCTCAATTTTTAAGTCATAATTCAAAAAAAATACAATTATTTTCCAGTTTTTTTAAATTAATTTTTTTTCCCAAGATTGTATTGTCATCAGCCATTGCAAATTTTTAAGTTAATCAGACTTCTTGAAATTGGTGAAAACTAGGTTGAGATATTGTTACGTTCATACAGATAAAGCGCGTTAAATAATTATATAATTAATTTAAAATATACAATTGGTCAGTAATGTTGGAAGCCAGAAACTGATGGATGCTTGCAAATTGTAGTGATCGCGGTCCTAAAAAGCCTATCGTAATCTTTGGTTACCGGACGGCTTCAGAAGGAGGCTTATGTTTTTTGCACGTTTGTATGTATATTAACAAGAATAATTATAATTCACGGTCTATATTCCAAGTGTTGATAGTACAATTACAATTTTATTTCCAGTTACTGTAGTCATTTTTTACTTCCTTTCTGTCAGTCCGGTAATCCTTGGCTCGTCTCTAATTTGGAAAGTACCGGTCGGGTTTTGATAAAATTTCTACAGAAGATTACTACTAATGCCAAGGATGAAAAAGCTTTGTGGTTTTTAAAATCGGTCCAGGGGCGGCCGAGAAAAGGTCAAACACGAAAAAATAATTGCTCAAACTTCGTTTGTTGTCATTTCAGTAAATCCTGATCGTTTTTAGTATACGCACATGTTAGACATCTTTCACACATAGATTTTCCCGTTAATTTGCCCTTAGCATGATAGAGAACTGCGTTCGATACGCGTCCCCACTTTTTGGGGGCATCATCGGTGAGCGTACCGGTCTTGGTGAGTGCTCTGGCCTTACTGACGCGTTGGTGCGGGCAGGTATCGGGGAGAGCCAGATGTAGCAGAAAGATTTATTTAGCACGTTTGGTTACATAAATAATAATTGTAAACAACTTCGAATTAATAAATTTAAGCCATATGATGTAAATGCTGGGCAAGCTATAATTGTAGATTTAACAAGTTATTCCTCAATTTTACTTTGAATTTTGACAAAGTTTTCTGGTCTTTTATCGCTGAATATAATTTATTATATTCAGTCAACCCTTAATGGAATACAGACTTGTAGCATATGTTATACTTTTTGGTCATTATAAGGAAGTCATCTTTATTTCTGGTTTTATTTAAATGATGGTCGGCATTTGATGATGTTGAATTAGTTAGACTTGGTGGAAATATATTATTTTTTACTTTATAAATGAATATAATTAAAAGATATAAGATAAAAAGTAGTATATTTATCTGTATCCAGTATTATTCTCATGCACTTGTTTTTATAAAAATTGCAATGTTTCAAAAATGGAATTATTCGCTAAATATAGAATAGTCGAGCAGTACAAGACATTTGGAAGAATACTAGTATCATAGATAATTTTTCTTCTATATGAACTCATACATCCATAAACTCTTGATAAATATCCCACTTTACTACTAATCTTATTTATAACTGTCATCATGAATATCAAAATTTAATCGAGAGTCAACAAAAACCCCAAGGTATTTAAAATTTTCTATGAATTCAACATCTTCACATATCAATATTTAGTAGAACATTTGTACATTGTTATTTTCCTATTAACATAGCTTTTGTTTTACTTGTATTTAATTTGAGTCTGTCAGATGCTAACCAATTTCAAACAAGTTCCAAGTCTCCATTTGTATAAGAGATACCAGTCTGAATATTTTTAGTACTTATACAGGGTTTGTCCGGAAATTAATAGGTCTGAGTCGATTTAAAAAAAAATTATTGAGCCAATCGTTACAATTCTTTAAAAACTTTCAAAATAGGCTTCTTCTGCGTCGATGCAGCGCTGTCAGTGCGATTTCCAAGCATTGAAGGCGTCACGGAAGGCATTCTCCGAAATAGCCTTGAGAGCCGCGGTGCATGCTGCTTGGATCCCCTCTGTCGTCTCAAAATGCTTGCCTTTCATCGGCCTTTTCAGGCGAGGAAACAAAAAAAGTCCAGGGGGCACATCTGGGCTGTAGGGCGGCTGCGGGAGCGTTGGGATGCCGTCCTTGGTCAGGTAGCTGTTCATAAGAAAGGCGGTGTGAGCCGGGGCGGGGCGTTGTCGTGGTGCAACTTCCAGTCGGCTGCGATGTCTTGTCGGACCTGACTGACCCTTCGTTTGAGTCTCCTGAGCACTTCCACGTAAAACTTGGCATTGACGGTTTGTCCAGGAGGAACAAATTCATGGTGGACGATGCCTTTGATGTCAAGAAAGACAATGAGCATCGTTTTCACTTTGGATTTGTTCATTCTTCCCTTTTTTGGGCGAGGAGACGCCGTCGTGTGCCACTCGGAAGATTGCCTCTTTGTCTCGGGATCATACTCAAAGATCCACGACTCGTCACCTGTGATTACGTTATTCAAAAATTGGGGGTCACTTTCACACATGTTCAAATTTTCTTGGCACACTTCCACTCGCCGCAATTTCTGGTCGTCAGTGAGCACTTTTGGGACCATCTTCGCGCACACGTTGAGCATGTTCAAATGCTGTGTCACAATGTCATGAATCACAGATTTTGGTAAATTTAACGTCTGGGCAATTAAACGAATACTTAGTCGACGCTCTGAATTCAAAACTTTGCGTACACACGAGTCACATTATCGATGTTTGTCGAAGTCGAAGGTCTTCCAACACGGTCCTCATCAGCAACCTCTTCCCGGCCTCCCAAAAAGGCCTGGTGCCACCGAAACACACCACTTCTTGCTAAAGCAACACCAGGGTAAGCCTGCTTGATCATATCAAACGTCTCTGTCGCAGATTTACCGAGTTTCACACAGAATTTAATCGCGTACCTCTGCTCTAACGAACGCTGCATTTTCGGTTTGCACCACTCACAGAAACACGTCGCGCGAAAATGCCTGTCCTGACTCTCCAAGTGCTCGGAGACAACTGATCAGCCGCTCATTGGTTATAGCTAGGAACGCCCTCTACCGAATCCAGTCGGTGCGCGTACACATAGTCATGGCGGAAGAAAATGAGTCCTATTACTTTCCGGACAATCCCTGTATAAATCGTAGTGTCATCGCCGAAAATCTTAATTTTGCATTTTTTGACTTTGGAAGGTAAATCGTTTATGTATATAATGAAAAGAAGTGGTCCCAGGATACTGCACTGTGGAACAGCTAACGTATTTTCAATTTTTGATGAACTAGTGTTATGAACTTTTGTAACTTGCATCCTTTTAGACCTTCAATTTACCTAACAAAATACCTCTATCAATCGTTTCAAATGCCCTCTTGAAATCCAAAAATACTGCTATGACAACTTCTTCTGAGTCTATGGCTGTTCTCCAATTCCCATTAATCAACTGGAAAGCCGTTTCTGTGGTGCTTGCGCCTCCACTAAAATTTTGTTTTCTTCTATAAACTGCATTAATTGGTCATGCACTATGGACTCCAATATTTTTCAATGTTATCGTTGCATCTTTTAGAATTTTTCATTTTGTGTGGTTAAACCCGATACATTTGTAGCATCGCAAAACATTGATGTACTCGAAAACAGAGCAAACAGACATGTCGATAAAAATAAGACCCTCATTTATTACACACTTAAAGGTGCACTTCTAAAATTGCTTGATATTTAGTTTTCATTTTCTTGACTGTAATTACTCGCATATGTGAACTTTCTGGAAAAGATTAATTTTGTGATTTTATAGTATTTATTAGCTCGTCTGCTGCATATTCTTGACAAAATCCAATAACTGATTTGTAGTTTTTTAGTTATCTCTGGAGTTTTCACTGTATGTGTTTCTGGCATTTTTTTACATTGGATTTTCACCCCACCATCCTTGATATCATAAAGTTTTCCAATTGCAGTTATCAAACTAGTGGGATTCACAAATTTTGCGATGTCTTTCTTTGTGATATTACACTGTTGTTGGTTATTAGGCTTAACAATGTATTTCTGAGATTTAATACTGTTGATTGTTTTTTTTTTGCTGCACGTGTTTGCAATGATAAGCATTGCTGCTTATATTCTACTACTGCTGTAGGCGAAGTAATGGTTGAATGTTCATGCCCTGAAGCTTTAACCATATCAGCGTAAGTTGTGCTTGCTTTTTGTGATGGCTGTTGCATCTTCTCAATTTGATTGTTTAATTGATCTATTTTTTCGGACAATTCCTTTATTAATTTGTTTGAATCGAAATGGTAAAATCTTTTAGTTTCAAAATGCCCTCTGTATAAAATCCATTTTCACCACACTCTCCACATCCTCACTAACTCCTATCCTCTTTAGACTTCTGCACCATATTTATGCTACGTATTTGCCTCAATACTTGGCCCAGTAGGTCTGGAAAGTCTAAGGGCGGTATCGCCAGTCATTCCTACAATTGTACAACGCCTTTATGACCTCCTTGATTGTCATAGTCTTTTCTCTCCTTCAAAAATTTCTAGATTGCACCTGTTCCGTGTCAGCATCAGCGCTCTCCTATTGTGAAGTTATTTATGTTTTCTTTTTGAATTGTAGGAAATTTCAGGCTGATAAAACATGATATGAATTAAGATAGCCTCAAAATAGAGCGCTGTCACGGAAAAGTATGAAACTATTAAAATCAAGGAGGCCATAAAGGCGCCCTACAATTGTAGGAACGACTGACGATACGGCCCTTAGTGTCACTCAAGATTCAAACTAAAAATTAAGGAATCTCCTAAAAACCTCTTCTATCACAGAATCTGATATGACAAAATCAAATAGAAGCCTCCATTTCCCTTATCTCCAACACGAATTAATAATGTTATTTCCAAGGGCTGGGTTCGAAACTGCGGCCCATCTAGCCGACGTGAATTGAGAAGTGACGTACACTAGTTAGGGCAGGAAAAAAATATTGTGTGGGCATGTTTGACTGACTTGATCCGTTTAATTTCTCTGTTATACATTGTAACTAAGTTTTTCTCACAGCGTCTAACTTGTGCTGAATATAATCCTTTATGAACTGATAACGGCATTGCTTGGGAAGTGCAAAGTCAACCTACGATATTTTTTCTGTTTTAAAAATGTATTTGCTTCTCAAAGATTACGTGATCTTGTGACGTTTCTTTTCGACTGTAATCGTCAAGATGACATCTTTATTTAATGTTACTTGGGTATTTATATTATAGATGCTAGATGAATTGACTACAACAGTGAAGAAATACAGCAAGGATAAGGATTGCAGTGTCCTATGTATGACTTCAACTAGCAAAGCGTTCTGTCTTGGGTTAGATTACCCCTCGTTGGTTCTGAGTGATGAGAAAGAGAGAAAGAATAAGGCTGCCAATCTTGCTGACAAAGTCAGGTATGTAACTAATTAAACAAATATTTTATGTTTAAAGGTATTTAACCACTAAGCATGAACACTACGGCACTTTTTGGCGCGCGATTTTACTGCTGTGGTGCGAAAAATTCGATCAACGAGACGTTTTAGAAGTAATGGATCTAATGAATAATGACGATTTTTTGTAAAATGTCTAGAAAAAAATTAACCGATTTGTGTAAGATGGGTCTCTAATTCTCATATTAAATCAAGGAATACTTCATATATCACCTGGTTTAGCTACAAAAATCTATTTTTTCATTTGGCCTTGGTTACAAAATTTGCGACCGAGACCAATCAAAAAAACACATAATGTAAAAAAGGGTATATTTCTACAATCCATCAAAAAGTCCATTGAGGTTAGTCACAATAACATATTTTTCCTCTTTATAGGTTTGTATCAGGTCAGTCCAACTTTTGTTTGTTTGTTTAACATTTATTTAGCATATTTACGTTATTTTAAAAACCTGAACAATTAGATAACATACAAATATTTAGAAAAAAAAAACTTGCTTCTCTAAGAATTTTCATTGTCCATGAAATGTTCCGTTTCTTAAAAACATCTTCAAATGTCAAGTAAACGTTATATCATTACTTAGCGTATTAAATTCAAGTAACCCTTTCTGAAATATTGATTTGCTAATTATATCACTATTTCAATTTTGTAATTTTAAATCTATATTTCCTCTTTTATAATAATTGATAGAGAGGTCAATATGTTTTATTGTCTGAAGAATACAATAATTCTTAGTAGCAAAGCTAACTTTAAACAAAATTACATTTGTGAATCTCAAGCAAATTAATTGTAGAACTCACACATGATATAATATGGTTTATAAATAAGGAAGTTTTTAAGTTCACGGCGAAATATATTTAAATTATTAATTATTTTGGTATCACCAGGTAGGTATAAGTCAATTTTCAAACCATTATAAATGATTGAGATAGTTATTGAATCAGGTTCTACTAATTTAGGATCTTGTTTTCGTGATAATGATTGTTCAATTCTATATAATATTCTAAAAGTTGTGGTGAAAAAGATTCTATATTTTAAATATAAAAATAAGAATATTAAATTTTTTATATTTAGCCACTGCAGTTCTTGTAACATAATTTTTTACTTTGGTGTACGTATTTTTATTCAATATTATTATTATTGCTTTTTTTGAAGGATTTGTATTTTTGAGAATGCAGCTTCATTGACAGGAAACAAGATATTTGAACAATATAGTAAATGGGGTAGAATAAATAGATAATAAGAATATAATATTTCGAAAAATAGGAATAATAAACTTTCAATCGCAATTACAACTAAACCATTAGGTTTAGGGCTGTGATTTTTTTTTTTTGAGATCAGCTAAATGGTTAGTTTTAGCAATAGTTGTGTCACTTTTTAACAGAGCTAATTAGAAATCAACGCAAAATCTTTTCATTTTTCTGTGAAAACAAAAAGTACAAGATTTGCTTCCAAGCGACTATGCACAACAGGTTGAATTTTGTGAGAATATGTTGAGAGGGTGCGAAGAGGATGAAACTTTTCGACAGCATCTTATGGACAGATGAATCCAAATTTAACCGAAATGGAATATTCAACATGCACAATGTCCATTCATGGAGCGTGGAAAATCCACACGCTATTCTCCGACACTGGTTTCAACGTCAGTTCGGCGTTAATTTATGGGCTGGAGTACTCAACAAAACACTAATTGGGCCGTATGAATTGCGTGCCAGGTTGAATGGTCAGTCATATCTTGCTTTTCTACAAAGCTGCTAGAGGATGTACCTTTGGACGTTCGAAGCCGCATGTATTTTCAATGCGATGGTGCCCCATGCCACTTTGCAGGGGATCTACGGCATTACTTAGACAGTGCCTTTCCTGAGTGGTGGATAGGTAGAGGTGGACACATACGATGGCCTCTAAGGTCACCCGAATTAAATCCTCTAGATTTTTTTATATGGGGGTTTTATAAGGGGATAATCTATACATCTGAATATACAAATGTCAACCAACTGCGCCAGAAAATTGATGAAGCAAAAATAAAAAAATTATGGAAATCGCAAATTTATTTCAAAGACTTAGGCCCGTATCGTCAGTCGTCCCTACAATTATTGTAGGGCGCGTTTATGGCCTCCTTGATTTAAATAATATTACGTCTTCTTCGTTAACATACATGTATGTCCTGCTTTAGATTTCCGACATACTGACAGTTCTGGCTTGAGGTTATGTTGTTGTTTTGACGTTCAGGACACATGATGGAAAGCGGAACCATAATTTATAATTTTCTTGCAAATAATGTCGATCACTCAAGAATACCTCGCTACTTTGAACAAATTCCACAACCTGTGATATCTTCAAGAAATTGTTGAGTTAGGAAAATTAATGCACATGGATATATTATATTATAATATTATACTTGTGTGTATGAAAGTCCAGAAGCTTACAACCAAGCTATTCTCTTGATGAAGGTTGGTAAGTTACAAAACAAATCATTGCATATCCATATTATATACTTATCGCATTATTTTCAGGTGTGATTCATTCTCACAGACTTTATGAGATGGTTCCTCCATGGATAAGAAACATTGTATGGCAAGTGCAATTATTGCATGGTCGATGTCAGAGATGCTTTTTCACAAATCATTGTGGGACTCTAGATTGTGTAGAGTGACAGGCACAAGTATGTATAATGTGTGTATGTAAGATCATAATTACTATTATTGACCATCGCTCTTTCAGGGTGCTCAAAATGCCATGGTCATGTAGGATTACCAAAAATGAAGTGTTACAGAGAGTAAACAGAAGAATAGAGTTGCAGCATGAAGCAAAATCAGAAAAACTTTATGACAATTCCATAATTAATTACGAATGGGAAAATAAAAGAAAATTGTGACTCATCAAGGGAATTACTTTCCTTTTAAACAAACTCCAAACAATTCAAACAACTAGATAAGCGGAAAAGACCCATTATGTTGAAAATTGTAGTTACCTCAAAGTCAGAGGGTTAAGCAATAATAGGTAGTTTTAAGATAGTTTCATTGCATTCATAATTCACTCATCATTACTAGATAGATAGATGTCGCAAGTATCAAATCAAAACTCCCAACTTTATCATGAACTTAACATGTAAGACTCATTTTAGGCAAAAATGAACTTATCCTGGCTCTGAGGTACAGAATTTGATTTGTATTTAAACGGCTGGGTATAAATTTTGGATTTAAATCACTATCAATAATGCTACTGAGCATACTTCAGTAAGGAGATCAATCCACTGAGCCTCAAAGAACAATATGTTGTATTTATCAAATGTGTTGCACCATATATTAATGTTTAACTGAACAGGTTTGATATTTGAAACACTCATATGAAGAGCAGATTTTGCTAGTTATGATAGTCACAGTAAAAAAAAAATGAAATCTTTGGCTCGAAAGTCTGCATTTATCTCTTGAAGTATTGGTAACTGCAATTTAGTTTGTTTCCTAATTGAATGTCCTCGGGGGGTGGTTTCAGGTCCATTTTAAGATGAAAACTTCAAATGATCGTATATCCTAAATGTTTTAACACAGGGTGGTAAAAAAGGTCAAAAAAAATAAATCCTTGATTATGAATATACGTATTACCACTTAATGAAATTTGGCATACATGTAAACGTGTCAAGAGGCATTCTTTCAATTTTACCTGCCTGTTTTGATAGACAGTGATGGTATGCTGTTTATTTCTCTCTTATTAAAATGTTCAATCACTTCGAAGCAAAAATCGTTACGAAATGATTTTTTTTTTCATTCTGATTCACGGTTTTTATAAAAACGATCATAACAATATTGTTAGCATGACAATATCACCATGCAGAGAATTTTTTTGGTGTAAATAGTGGGTCGGACATGAAAAATTGAATTCTTTTAGTCTGAAGCACGGTTTTCACCTGAAAAATACAATCTATTTCTTGACATAGTGACATTTTTATACTGACGATATTAGGATCATGCAAAGAAACGTTATTTTATTTTTGTAAGCGAATACCGTGCATCGGAGTGAACAAAAATTAGACAATTAAATTTGCCTAGAAATGACGAGATTTCAATTAAAAGTTTTTATTTTGAGAGAAATCAGTTTCTGCCAAAATAAGCAAGTGAAGTCGGTACGAACGTCGCTGGTGGAAATCAAGAGAAAATTCGTACATTAATAATACCTCTTGATAGTACATATATGCAGAATTTTAATAAAATTTTTAAAGTGATATTACAGATCGTAACAAAAAAATGATTGATTTTTAAAAAGCTTACCACCCCGTTTCTCAAAAGTCAAGACATTTAAGACATAGTTTTCTGCTTAAAATAGAACCAAAAATCGCCCTCTTAAATATTGACATTCAGTTGGAAAACACCTTATATATTTTATGTAAGTAAATTTGAATTTATTCAAGGTTATTGTAATACACTATTGTAGTTTTTCATTTTGGATATGTTTTTTTGACCATTTATTTGTTCATGTTTCCTGTTATTATTTGTACCTTTCAGATATAAAGACTTCATTTGATTACTGATACTTATGTATTTTGACATACTATCTATGAATTCCTTAACGATTTCATGTATCATATTTTCCAGTTGGTACTTGCAGAATATAAATAAAAGAATACTTGGTAAAATAAATATTTTTTATTCTACATTGTATACCCACAGAAATACAATAGATTCATTCAAAAATATCTAGAAATATAGATTTCATCAATTTTTAATCCTTGACGTTAAATAGATTATATGCTACTTTCTAAATTACAAGCTATGTAAACAGGGCTAAAAGGATATCTGATCAACTGCAAAGAAATCTGTACCAATAAAAATGTTGATTACAATATTCAAAAAGCCACTTTATCGAGTTTCGTGTGACATTTCATCTCTCACATGCAACATTAACTATTACACATTTGAGAACCCCCTTCCCAGGTAGAACAAAGCTCCTCTTGAACTCAATAGCTTTCAACTTTTATGAATATTCAGGCTTATGCCTACCTTACATTTACAAATTGCAGTGTAACACATGTCAGTCACAAAATGCAAATTCACTTATTTCAGTAAGGTTGGCTCCTTCAAACCTGCTTTCAAGTGCCTGGATGCATGAATCCATTCTTAGGCGCAATCCATACAGAACGGGCGTGTGGTGGTGGCGTGGTGCGGTAGAGGAACAGATGTGGCGCGTTCAATTCACATTGAAATGTCAGAACTCAGTTTCCCTCAAGGCGTGGATCACGGAGTGACGACTGACGATGCTTTCGGATGACGAAGATGATCAAGATATGTTAGACCTTCTGAATTTAGCTAACATGCAAAGGCAAAGGAGATACTGGATACATCCTTTGTGGCTAGATCAGAGGAAAACTAGTGGTTCGTTCAACGTTATGCGGGAGCTCAATATGTACCCTGAACGTTTTCAAAGTTTCTATCGAATGTCCAGTCAATGTTTTTATAAAATACTAGCATTAGTAAGAGAAAAGAAATCAACAAATTGGAGAGAACCGGTCAGTCCAGAGGAGATGCTGTTAATAACGCTGAGGTAAGTTCAAAAAATATATTAAAGTAAATTGAATTAACTCGAATAAAAGAAAACATAAAATCAGTAATATCAGGTATTAATTATTGTATCATATAAACTCAGTCATATTGAAAGGGTCCGTGTTGGTTTGCGGGATTGAACCTGGATTTCTATTCACCGAATCCCAAGATTGAGAACCATCCATTGGTGGAGTAGTAGCTTCCAGATTGGTTGAGGGTAGTATTTGCTCGGCCAAATTTAAAATGGCCATTTTGAAACGCCGTTTCTGGTTAGAGTTCATAGACTTCATGTCAGGCAGAACACTGTGTAAAAATGCCAGGTCAGAATCAGGAGGATCAACTGTGGTATTTGTTTTCGTGACGTTCTGGATCTCCAGTACTTTCTGTTTTTTCTCAAAATACTGATAAGCTTGCTGGTTGACATCATTGATAGAGGTTGCTAACTTCTTTTTTTTTTTTTCTTAAATCATCTCCTTTCCGTGATGGTGTTTTAGGTGCTTTCATTGCTAACAGGTGATCATCGACAGAAGTACTGGGAGATGGTATAGGTGAATGAGAGGAATGAGTGGATAGAATGTAATCGGGTGATTGAACCTCAATGTTGTCGTTTTCTTCATATTCATTAGCATCTGTTTCCTCATCAGCTGATAATGCAGACTCTTCAGCTGTGTTGCCTTTGCTTTTGCGAGACTTCAAGAAAGGATCCAAGAAGAGGAGATGTGGGGCCAGATAATATTATTTGACTCGTTTAGCTCCTTGTCCTGATTTTGTTTGTAGTTTTGCCCTATATTTTGAATAGCTTCCTCGTATATTCTTCCACTCGGATACTGAAACAAAAACTAAAATTCTACATTTAAATATACGTTAAAACAAAATACTGGTCTGTATAAAGTGAACATCGATTGCCTATTTTCAGGTACTTCGCGACTGGATGTTCATTCAAAGCCCTTTCCTTCTACTTCCTGAAAGGTCATTCTACTATACAAGAGATTGTGCATCACATCGCCCAAGTCATATGGAAGAAATTACAACCTGTCTATATGCCAAAACCTACACAAACTAAGTGGGAAGAAACAGCGAAACGTTTTCATGAATTGTGGAATCTTCCCAACTGTATGGCAAACATATTCGAATAAAAGCACCACCGCGGTCAGGATCTGCTTTCATCAACTATAAAGGTCTTTTTTCTATTGTCTTACTTGCTGTGGCAGATGCAGATGGCCTATTTCTAACAATCGATGTAGGTGAATTCGGACGCAATAGTGACGGGCGAGCCTTGAAAAATAGCAGTTTTGGAAAAGCGTTGAAGGAACGACGTCTGAATATACCTGAACCAGCTGCATTACTTGGAGAAATGCATCCATCAATTCCATACTTTTTTGTAGGCGATGAGGCTTTCCCCTATCCTCAAATTTAATGAGACCCTTCTCTCGAAGAGAGTTGATAAGTCACGAACGAAAGATTTTTAATGTCAGCTGTTCCAGAGCACGGAACTCAGTGGAATGCGCTTTTGGTATGCTTACAACAAAGTTCGGGCTTCTACAAACACTTATTCGATGTGATCCTACTAAAGTTGATGATCTAATTCAAGCAATGTGTGTATTGCACAACGCGATTGAGGAATGTGATGGCACATTCTCAAGGCCCCAATATGAAAACGTTATTGTTGGCGATTCCACTCCAGTACAATTAATACAAAACGCTAGAGATATGAGAATTTACCTCAGCAACTATTTTAAAGACCGCGCACCAATTCCTCATCAGGATAGATACTGCGTATGAATGGAATCAGATACTCTGTAATATAAAAAAATCAATAAACATGTACCTACTTACCATTTGCACTGATTTTTTTTTATATTTGTTCCCATGCCTGGTCTTGTGCACTTCTGTTGCAGTAATCCGATCGCCTGTAATCATATAGAACTGCATATTGTTCCACTAGTTCACAGAACTTGATATTAAATTGAAAATCGTCCGGCATTTTGATTAGCAAACACCAAAAATCAACAAAAGTAGCTGCCAGGTGTATGGCATTTGCCACTAATGTAGACCACTCGTGGTGTCGAAGTGGTACGGCGGTGGCGCGAATTATTTCGCCGGCACCACATCACTTCTGTCGGTATTGCTGCATAAACGAACATGTGATGACACATGCCCCTGCCACGCCAGACCCACGCCACAAGTACGTGCCCGTTCTGTATGGATTGCGCCTAAGGAAGGTCATTCACCTCTTTATCCTTCCAAAATAGATATGGAGTTTTGTATGTAATATCACGATGGTTTATGTCTGCAAAAAAGATGCATAGATTCAAGACACATTCAAAATTTTACACCTTGGTGTGGGCTACAATTTTATAATGATATTTTTTAGAGTTGCAGTCTGAAATTTTTAGGTTAAGGTTCCCACTAATATAAAAAAAACACCAGATAGGGCAGGGCATGTTTAAACTCAATTTCACAGCATTTACACATTATACATACTTGTGTAGCCTGACACTAGGCAATCCAAAGTCTGACAATGATTTATGAACAGCCATCTCTGTCATCAACAATACAGTTGCACTTGGGATACAATGTTTCTTATCCAACATCTCATAAAGTCTGTGGCAACGAACCACATCTGAAAAAAATGCGATAAGTATATAAATATGAATATGCAATGTTTAAAATTTTTGTAACTTGCCAGCTTCATCAAGGAACAGCTTGATTGTAAGCTGTTAGGCAAGTATATATAAATACACATCTATTTGCATTAAATTGTTGATTTTAGAGCATTAATACCAGATATGGGACTTGAAGATACCACAGCCTGACAAATTTGTTCAATGTAGGAAATTATTATTGAATGATCAATATTATTTGCAAGAAAATATCCTTCGGCATTTGATTCATGTCTGAAATTTCTTAACGTCAAAAAAGAAACATACCTAACATCACAATTGATTTCTGATTGACAGCAGACTAGAAATGTAAAGCAGGACATACATACATGTACCTTACCGAAGAAGACAATATTATCGAAATCAAGGAGGCCATAAACGCACCCTACAATTGTAGGGACGACTGACGATACGGGCCTTAAGGACAATTTTATTAGAAGATGTCGCTTGTGTATAGAAAATAATGGAGGCCATTTCGAACATGTTCTTTAACAGTTAGTTAAATCAAATTATCTTCCACATTTGTCGGTAAATAGCCATAAAGAGCAGCTAAACACAATAGGTTCTGTACTTGTAGGTGGTAAGGATTCTATTGCGTTTCTTACGTTTATCGCATCATAACAAAGTACGTGACATGATACATTCATTGTAACAAGCTGCAATTTTCATGGTTTATTCTACATGGATTGAAATAGTTTTTACAATAAAATGAATGATGAAATCCAACCTCAATTTTTTTACCGCCCATCAAAGTTGAGGGATAGAAGAGATTTTTCACAAAAAAATGATTTTAGGATTTTTTGCGTTGATTTCTCATAAGCTCTGTTGAAAAGTGACATAACCACTGCCAAAACTAACCATTTAGCTCATCTAAAAAAAATCAACCCCAAACCTAATAGTTTAGTTGTAATTACGATTGAATGTTAATTATCCCGTTTTTTTTTCGAAATTTCACAAAATTGCGAATATCTCCTGAACTATAAAATTTCGGACCATACATATAGGGATTCATTCGATATGTTTTGAGGCCCTCTAACACCTGCCTTCCGTTGATCCACTACTAACTTTACACCCTGTATATATACTATCCTATTCTGCTCAAATCCACTTTTTGCGGATTTTGCCCATTATTTTCCTATTTTTGTTATATATATATATATATATATATATATATATATATCTCAAGTTATATATATATGTATATTAATCTGTCATCTGCAAATATATGAATTTTACAATAATCTAAAATATCACAAATGTCATCAATGTATAAAATAAATATTAGTGGACCTAGTTTACTATCTTGTGGTACACTAACATAAATATTTCTTGAGCTTGATGTAAGTGAGATTAATGTAGATACAATTTTGGTTTTTGACTTCTGTCAGTCGACTAGTTTTGTAGAATTTTGAATACAGATATTTATCCCTGTTAATAGTTTCAAACGTCCCTTTGAAGTCCAAAAACAGTGTCACTATTGTCCACGAGGAGATCTCCAGTTCTCTAAAACTATTTGTATTGGCATTTCAGTTGAGTGTTTCTTTCTGAATCCAGCTTGCAATTTGGATAACATTATATTTCCCTCAATGAATTCGATGATCTGTTCGTAAATAATTTCTTAAAATACTTTTTCAACATCTGGCATAAGATTTATTGTCCGCATAATGATTTTTTTCTTGCTATACAAAATATTTAATAAATTCTTTAAAGTCTTAAATAAAATTAGAGCATATTTATTTAACAAGCATCGAGTAAATACTCAATTTACTTGACTGAAGTGCCCGTTTCTTTCTACTTTTATGCTGAACATGTGCTTAGAGCTCCTTCTCCTGGCTTCATGGCACGTTCCTAGTATGATACGATATGGTAGGCAAAGACCTTAAATCCGATCTAACCCTTTGGTTATGATTTTTTTTTTCTTAGGGACTTTCTGTTGAGCCTGCTTCACTTTCCGAAAGTCCTGGTGGCCGGTATCCAAGGAGAATGCGCTGGGTTAGCGGTGATGATGTTGCCGCTGTTCGACACGGTCATAGCCAATGACAACGCGTCGTTCAGCGCGCCATACGTTAAATTGGGTTGCATACCCGAAGCCGGGTTCTTGTTGGAACGTTGGGGCCTCGCTGGCAGAAGATTGGTAAGGATTTTTGTTTTTATACTTGTTAATCGTTATTTATACCATACATACATCTTTTAAAAAATTTGTATGTAAATGATCTACAAAATTGATCGCGGACCCATGATCCTAAAATAGCACACAGTTTGGTCAATACTTCTCTTCTCCCGTTGGACGATATTGGTCTCCATACTCCACGATTGTTTCTCAAAATGCTCGCTAACAATTGTTATCCATTCTGCTTCCAACCTGTTGTCATAAACTTTTCGAGACAGTAACGACCAAAATTCCTCAATTAGCGGAACTTGTGGTATTGCTTTTCCCTGTTTATAATTAACGTTATCCTTGACCAACCATTCCCTAGCTCTACTTGCATAATGGCACGAAGTTCAAGCTTGAAAATTTGACGTTCATTAATTGACAACAATCTACGATTAGTTTACCTGCTTCAGCTAACTAGATCTGGCATCAAAATGAGGTAGAAATTTCAGGTAAAACTTCCCCTTAAAACGTTTGTCTCGTAAGTTAGCTGCTGAAAAATACTTGTTCTATTGTCTGATACTAACTCTGTACCGTTATATGACTGCAATTCTGTCGGATCGAAATTTCGTGTGTCAGATTACGATGTTTATAGACAGATAGATAAATATAATTTATTGTCTGAAGAATACAATCATTGTTAATGACGAAGCTAACTTAAAACTAAACAAAATTACATATGTGGATCTCAAGTAATTGAATTGTAGAACTCGAACATTTTATAATATGGTTTACAAATAAGGAAGTTTCTAAGCTCACGGCGAAAAATCTTTAAATTGTTGTTGTTTTGATATCATTAGGAAGGTAGATGTAAATTTTCAAACTATTATAAATGGTTTAAGATCTTGTTTTCATCTGATACCGTAACTTATCTTTGTCTGAAATTTACATTTGTTTTTAAAAATAAGAGTTTCTAGTTTTAAGATTTAAAAATAAAGGCCTGCATGTTGCAGGATTGCTTTTAGTTATATATCTGATTGTTCGTTTTTGTAGGATAAGCTCTTTTTTAAACAATTTTGAGAACAGGCCAAAAAGGAATGCTATATCTCGATCTACTTTCAAATAAGGCAAAGTAAGACCTAAGGCTGCGCTTTTCCCTGAGTTGTAACTAACTGTTTTTATAATAAGCAAAATCTTTGATAGTTGAGTAAGCAATTGGTCTTCATGATTAGTAAAATCATCAATGTCAATGAAAAAACTTGATGGTGATTAGTAAAATTCAATTTAATATCAATGGTCAGTGCTAAAAAATTGATGGTGTCTGTTTTGTGTATCAAATTATTATTTAAATTTATAAAATCAAGGGAGCATTTAAATGTCAAAAATTTGGTCTAAGTAGTTGTTATCACTCCATTTTTTTATTGATTGTATATCATTCTCAATGTTTGACCTAATTCCATCTATATCTATGTCTTACCAAAGTATTGTCGTATCGTCACTAAAAACTATGAATTTACTATTTATGTTTAAATTCATTAAATCATTAATATAGATTAAAAATAGGATCGGACCGATCCCTATATTAAATTGAAATTACCCACATAATTAATATTCTATTAGTTGATTGCCGTAGCTGTGTGTGTGCCGTGTAGTTTCAGATTGTGCTGTCAGAGCCAGCTTTTGACTTGCTCCAGTCGACCCCTGTCAAAGTCTTTCGCATATCGGAATCACTGACCAAATAGCACTGAATCTGTACATATGACAAACACGCAGCTAATTGTGATCTTTAGGTTCGGTCATATTTCCTCCATCACATTCTAAAGTATACTCCATATAGTAGGACACTATACTCGTATACTACAAGCCTGCAACCCATAAAACAGTATAGCGAAATGCGGGTTGCATTGGTTGGGGTGAATGGAAGAACAGGATTGTTGTGAACTCCCCCTTTTTAAGCATTTTGACTTCATAATATTTATTTATTTTGCTGTATATATTTGATATTCAAAATAAAAGCATTATAAATAACAGCAACCATTCCTAGTACGAACTCTGCAAATGCTGTCAGATTGATATTTTACACATAACAAGCATACCGATCTGCATTTGACCACCCTGTCATAAATTTCGATACCATTGATTCATTAAATTTATTTTCAGGCTGCTGACCTACTCTATACGGGAGACAAAATAGCCGCGGATGATGCTTGCAAGCGTGGTTTGGTTTCGAAGCTTTGCTGGCCAGAGAAATATAACGAAACTTTGAAGAATGTACTTGCAGCTATAGCCAAAGGATCTAAACAGGTAATTACAAACGCCTTAAATATTTTCTCGTCTTCGTATGACTTTTCCACATGTATGCTTGCCACTGTCAGTATGGCAAGTTGCTTGTCTTGGGCGTGCGATTTGCTTCTACCTATTGAAAATCCCCGATATAAAACATAGCAATGTCTGAAGATACAACTACAAAAGATCCAAACTTGTAATCATAAATGACATATCAATATATCAGCCGTAACTAACCATTTTCCATCATCTGATGTTTTAGCTATCGCGCAGTTGCTATATTTGATAGATTTTGTCAAGCTTTAACGTTCATTGTCATTGTACTTTTACGTTACGTAAGTAATGGAACTGGCAACACTGCAAGTGATCTGACAATCCTGCGCTATTGTCCTTCATAGGGCACGTGAGTCAGTGCCCTCCCGTCACTGAGTGCGAGTTTCATATCTGTGCGGTAACCACCTGAATTTTTTTGCTATTAGTGGAGTTGTGTTTTGGTTGTACGTCACGCAAAACGGAATGGCTGGATCTGGAGCAACTTTGTGCTAGGCTTGGAGAATCGGAAAGTATGACCTTTGAAAAGTTGCAAAAGGCACTATAGGCAACATTCCTTATACCGAGGTCAAGTTTTTCGCTGGTGCAGATCATTTTTTAGGGCGTCCATGGTCAATACTTGACAGTTCATATTATTCAATGAAAGCGTTTATGTTTCTCTTGCAAAAATCTATACTTCAAGTTTTACCCTCCTTTTAGGATTCGCCACAATCAAGTGGGGCCCTCTACATATTTTGATATGGGTCTCTGAGGAGCAAGCAATGTCACTGCCTGGGAGCAACGTCTCCATCAGTGTGTACCTGCCCAAGGGATGTACTTTGATGGAGATAATATCCATTTTTGAAAAAGATAAACACTTTGGCAAATAAAAGATGACGTCAAGTACGCTGATTCTACTCTTTCCATACAACGCCGTCATCAGTTCATAAATGATTTATTATTTTCAGCAGAAGTTAGACCCTATCGAAATAAGACAACTTCATACACCTTATATCCTGGATAGAGTATAGTTGCTATGCTTTCGTTAGTTATTCCAGAGATCAAGCCTTGTCGATGCTGTTGAGTTGCCAAAAAAATACGAAACAGCTAACTGTGGTTCGCTGTCTTTGATTGGACGGACGAAAGCAGCGTCTTTAAGTTTGACCCCTAAGAAAAAAGTGACGAACGTGTATAGCAGAGAAATTAAACGGATCAAGTCCGCCAAACAATTAGTTCGTAACATTATTTCCCTGCCCTACCCGTAGTACCGTCCATCTGGCAACGTCGCGACGCCTCTTCCCAATATCTCAGAGCACCAGTCATTCAGGACACATACGAACACCGGCACGCCGGTCGCGGCCGTTGAAGTCAACAGACGCAGGGATGCTTGTCGAAAACATTTTTCTATCGTTCTAATTTTTAAGGGCAAATGTACTGGGCAATCTCTAAGCCGTAGAGTCTCAGAGCAAGGACTTGACAGCTTCGTGTGAGGAACAGTGCCTGTTACGCAAAATTCAAGGGCAAAGCAACCTTCTGGTCCTTTTAGAAGATAGGAAACGAGCTGTGCACAAACTTCTTAGTAGAGTTAGGCCTAGGAGATGCTCTCCCCAATGGAAAGCTTTAGTACACAGAATCCTATTCAAAGATAATAAAGCAAGATTAGGATCTCTGTCTGATCCCGTGGGAGGTAATATACTCGTACTACTTCCGAGGAAGGTACTCTGAGGCTTCTGATGGATACGCACTTTCCCGGTTCCACAGTATCGCGATCAGTCATAGTTTGGGCTGTATTAGTATTACAAGCATAGTGCGAACAATGCCATTGAGTGCAATGGAAGCTCTGCTGGATCTCCCGCCGTTGGATCTAGTGATCCGCGGTGAAGCGAGAGTAGTCCCGCATCGACTGAGGAGTCAGAGCAGCTGGGCCTTCTTGAATCGTGTTAAGGGTCATACTATCATCTTAGACGACCTGCAAAGGGAGAATCCTGCGCTTCTGAGCAGTGGTGATCTGATCACCCCTAAATATCGCTTAAGCTGCAAGTTTAATGTGGAGTATCCAACGAGGGCGGAGTGGGACTCCGGTCTCCGGAGCGAGTGGGCAGGTCTGGTACACGGATGACTCGGTCACCGAAGAGGGCTCTGGCGCCGGGGTCTCTGGGCCTAGAAGTAGGCTATCTCTGCCTCTCGGTGGATACAGCACTATTTTCCAGGCAGAAATCTTTGCGGTTCTGGCTTGTGTATCCTGCATCTTGGAGGGAGGAGGGCCTAGGAGAAGAATAACAATCTTCTCCGACAGCCAGGCTGCAATGAAGGCACTAAGTGCCTGTAAGATTACTTCGGGCCTTTTATTGCAATGCAGAGATACTCTGGATTGTCTAGCAGCAAGGCATCACTTTGGACCCCCAGAACGTTAAGGAGCTTGGACTCAAGGCCAAACGCAACTTCGCTAGAATGGCGAGGCTTGAGGTCTAAGGAATGTAGTGATGCACAAAGGCCCGTTTAAGTGACCTATGCGCCAGCTCCTTATGTTGGCCAGTATGCCTCTAATTTCATGATTCATTCATTCACTGGGCAATCTATGATGCGTGAAATATGTGTAATAGGAGAGTAGAATCATTGGGGTTGGAAGTATATTTATTGATATACTAACATCAAAAAATTGCTATACACCCACAAGAAACGAAGCTAGACGGATTTTTGTTTTTTCTCTTTTGGCCGTTTTCTCTCCGTCACCACTGAACTGATTTTCAAAAACTACAAAGCATTTTCGTCCTTTTGTGAAGATTTCATCAAAGTCCGATCTGCACTTTCCAAGTTATAGACAGGCCAAGGATTAGCGGACGGAGCGATAGACAAGCAGACCGACGGAAATGAGTGGCATGGTATTTCGTGATGGACAGTAACATCCATAAAACAGATCTCATTTTCGAAGTTTTTCGCGATTACTATACTTCTTCGCCAGTAGGTGTAGGAAGTAAAAATCAGTTTCATTACTTTTCTGCCACAACTCGTATATGATTATAGGACTTTGTAGAGCGAAATTTGCATTTTCGTCTCTATAACCAACACGTAGGTAATTTGTGGCGCTGAATTCAAATATGACAGTTTTGTTCTCAACGTTGTAATCGCGAAATTTTCGTTAATATTTCTTTGATGTTAAATGACATGTATATCACGAAAAAACATGAAACTCATTTCCGTCGGCAGGTCTGTCCGCTAATCTTATAACCGCGTGATAAGTACTGCCCGGATTTCGATGAAGTTTTATACAATGTTACTACCATACCAAAGACGCAAAAGCTTTGTAGTTTTTGAAAATCGGTCCAGTGGAGGCAGAGGAAAGGCTAAAAACAAGAAAGAATGAAAATCGCTCAAACTTTGTTTTTTAATGTTTCAAAGGTTCCTTATCTATCTCAATGTTTGATGTTAGTACATTTATATGCTCCCATCCTTAGCAATTCTACGCACCTATTAGATATATTGAATATTATTATTGTACCCTTCGTGGTACACCAGCGAAATTATTAGGAAAGTCAGGCATAAAGCAAAGTTATACAAGAAGTACAAAAAAAGTCACAATAACCATCTACATGAACAGTACAAACGTCTTAGATCTGAGGTAAAGCGTCAAATATCTGTGGCCTATAAAAATTATACATGTTGAGATTTCCATCTCTCAAGATCCTAAACATTTTTGGAGTTTCATGCTAACAAAAAATCTAACTTCTAGGATTCCTAGTAAAATGAAGTTGAATGACGTCTCACTGAATGATCCTTACTGTGCTGCAAATGCATTTGCAGATTTTTTTAATAGTGTATTTGTTGATCCATCTACTCGTAATGATTTTATTGAAGGCAGGAATCCTACTAGTCAGGTTAACATATTTTTCAATGACATTCATGAAAATGAGATTATTGCTGCATCTAAAAAACTCAAGAATAGAGTAACGGCCGGCTCAGACATCATCCCCTCGTTCATAGTCAAAGATTGTATTCATGTCTTTGATAAGCCGTTATTAAAAATATACAATCTGACTATAGAAACCAACACATTCCCTTATATTTGGAAACTTTCTAGAGCGACGGCTATTTTCAAATCAGGGGATAATACTGATATTAAAAACTATAGAGCAGTGGCAATATTGTCGAATTTCTCCAAATTGCTGGAGATAATATTTCATAATAGAATTTACTCCTTAGTTCATAGATCTCTGTCGCCTTTTTGGCATGGTTTTCTTACTAAGAGATCCACAGTAACTAATTTAACAATATTCACTCAGTTCGCTATTGAATGTGTCGATCGGAAAGGTCAGCTAGATGTAGTATACTGGCCCAACTATTGAAATCTTAGTTTTTTCTTATCAAACACAAATAATAAAAATGTAGCAAGGTGTTACAGGTTTAAAATATTAACAATGAATATTTTGATAATATATAGTAGAAAACATCAACTTTATCACTCCCTAATCAAATTTGCAGCATAAAAATAACACATGTTGCAATTACAGCATATCAACCTATTTTCATTTCAATGCAAAATAAATCTATAACGCATAAGTGGCTGTGAAAAATAAGAGCCATAACAATTGTTTTTATTAATCACAGCTGTCAGAATACGTTTAAAATAGTTTTGGGTAGTTAAGGTTTTCAAAATGGGTAGAGGAAAGGTTATTAGTGAGAAAATTCGGTTACTGATAATTAAATTTTGTAATTCTGGGAAATCAAACTCAGAAATTGCAACTTTGTTAGACTTATCGCGGTACAGTGTGCGAAATATTGTTAGAAGATATAACGTAACTGGTTCAGTTAATATTAAGCCACGATATGAGAAAAAAAGTAATATCACAAATGCCGACCGAAGAGCATTAAGAAGAATAATCGTGAAAAACAGGCGTGCCAATTATTTACAATTAAGTGCTCTGTGGAGTGACGCTGTTGGAAGGAGAATTTCGAGGTCCACAACTCATAGAGAGGCCCACAAACTGGGATTTGGCTCTTGCAAGGTAAGTTTTCTTATAAAAAAAAGTGAAGTAAAAACCCTAAAGTTGCACAACTTGTTTATAGGCCAAAGAAAAGCCACTATTAACTCCACTGCCAAAGAAAAATTGGCTTAGATAGGCTAAAGAACATAGACAATGGACACCTCAACAATGGAGTGATGAGGCCCGATTCGAAGTTTGTGTTGGTGACAGTCGCAGTAGATTTATTCGCAAAAAAATGAAGCATTCCATGTTGACTGTCTGAAGAGAAAAGTGAAATTTCCAGCATCCATTATGGTCTGGGGCAGTATGTCATCAAAAGGAGTAGGAAACCTTCATTTTATTGATTTAAATGTGGATACAAACAAATATTTGGCAATTTTAGAAGAATCGCTTTTACCAGTGATAGAAGAATGTTTGACATCCGGCCAAGATTTTGTGTTTTAACAAGATGATGCAGCGTGCCATACCGCAAAAAAGGCTATAAAATGGATGGAAGAAAATAATGTACCACTTTTGAAATGGTTTCTAGCAGTCCAGATCTGTCACCTATTGAAACTTTGTGGCACGAGATGAAAAATGTTCTACGAGAACATCCTGCTCGTACAATCACCGAACTGAGACAAAAGCTTCAAGAAATTTGGGATTGTTTTACACCAAATTTTTGCCAAAACTTGGTTAACACTATGCCCCAAAGAATTTCAGCTATAATAATAAAATAAAGGTGATGTTACCCAATAGTAATTTTTCAATTGTTGCTTTGTTAACTTCGCACATTGTTTATTTGTTCAGATGTTCTATTAGTAATAGGTCTAAGTGATTTGAAATATGTATTTTTTAAGACTAGAGTGTATCTAAAATGTTTTTGAGAAAATAAATTGTTTTAGAAGTTAATGTTTCGTCATGTTTAGTTTATAAAGGCATATTTTGCTACAAATCTTGAAGTGGGCCAACTGAAGTGGGAAGGGGCTCGTATACCGATTTTGCTAAAGCGTTCGATAGGGTGGACCATGGAATACTTTTGAATAAACTTTTTTATTGTGGATTCCATTCATCAGTTTTATCACTCATTCAAACTTATCTTCATGAAAGGAAGCAATATATTACTTTTAATTGATTCAAGTCGTACCAGTATATAACTAAATCGGGAGTGCCTCAGGGTTCAAATCTTGGTCCTTTATTGTTTACCTTATTTATTGATGATGTTGTGCATTATTTAAGTTGTAATAAGCTCCTCTTTGCGGATGATTTAAAATTATTCAGGATTATTAAGTCTGAGACTGATTGTATTGCACTTCAGCGTGATATTGATTCTCTAGTGGCTTGGTGTGACTAGAATAATTTATTTCTTAATGCGTCTAAGTGTTGTGCAGTCAGGTTTTCCAGGAAAACTTCTGCTTGTAAATTTAATTATAAAATTTGGGATGCTTACATAAATCGTTATAACTCATTTAAGGATTTGGGTGTAGTTTTTGACCATAACCTTAATTTTTCACTCCACATAGCTCAAAAGGTGAGTGAAGCTTCGCGGGCGTACGGTTTTATTGTGAGAAACTGTAGAAACTTTAGCCGCCCAGAGTCACTGTTGGTTTTGTATTCTGCATACATTAGATCGAAATTGGAATATGCATCGTTAATTTGGAACCCAATTTACAACTGCTACATTGATTCTCTTGAGCATGTTCAGAGAAGGTTTCTAAAATTTGTATCTTTTAAAGTTGACGGCATATATCCTGAACGTTTGTTATTGTCTAGGTTTCAAATGCAGTCTTTAGAACTGAGAAGGAAGTGTGCATTAATTATGTTCTTGCATAAACTACTGCACAATCAAATTGATGCTAATGGGACTATGGCTCAAATAAACTTTAATGTTCCATCTATTCAAACTCGTACAGTTAAAACATTTTTTTGTGACAGGGCTCGCACAAATTTGTTTTTGAAGGCACCCATATATGTGATGTATGATTGTATGAAACTTTCAATGCAATATCAAATTATTGTGATATACATGTACATGCTGACAGTTTGAACAGCATTCTGGGAGTAGCTAGAAATTGCTTGGATAATTTATGATATGTTATAGCCCTGAGTGAAATATGTTTTTTCTTGCATCTTTTTCTTATTTGTTTTTTCTTTAGATGAAATCGCCTGCTTTTTATGTGTTTTCTGTTCTTGTTATTTTGATTTATCTTAGGATTGTCCTGTTGGGCAATAAACGCTATTTATATTTCTTTATTTATAATTGTTACACGTATTTCTGCCGCGCCACAACGTAGTATTTACTATACTCTGGCTGCGCTGCTTCTGCGTCTGACCGATTTAAGTATCAGGGAGATGCGACATGTCCAGATGCACTACCGGCGGGGCAGGGAAAGAATGTCTATGGACCAGTTAGACTGACTTTTTTCTCAGAGGATAGTGTTGCGTGCGAAGTACAGAGTCAACCTACATGACGTCATTTTTTGTGTTCAACATTGCCTGTGTAAGGAATAAAAAATCCCTATTTTTCACAGAGTTTACTGTCCACCAAGAAGCAACTACAAAGTCACATGTTGAAGCAAACTGAGGCAGCTTTAGAGACGGAAATCAAAAATTGTGCGGACTTGTGGACCAGCTCAGAATGTCAAAAGAATTTCTTAGAAGCGGCCTGCAATGGTTAAGTTTGAGAAGCGGCTATTTTCATGGAAATTGTGGTACAAACTCTTTATTTTTGTTTATTATATGACGAAAGTTATCTAAAAAATTGACGTCTTTAAAGGATCGTCGGTTCAATTCGAAAAATGAATGAAATATTTTTTTATATTTTAATATTGTAGGTTAGGCATTGTAATCCTGGTTTGTTTAGGATTATAGATTGAAATGTTTCTAGCACGTAGAATGTTTGATGTATATCGATTTATATATTTTTGAATATAATTTCCAAAGATTGGTGCAATATCGTCGGGATTGGAGAGAATTTCCATCATGAAGGGGAAAAAAGAGATACCATATAAGAAATATAGAAATGTCAACAGTATATTGTACATTTTATATACAGGCACAGTCAGGTAGACCAAGCCAAAACTCCAAAAGTGTAATTTCAAAAAAATAAGTTTAATTTTAATTTCCGGTATAACCAATGTTGATTCAGTTTCCAATTTCTGGAAAACTTAAAATTTGTAATTGTAGAGGTATTATTCAAGTAAGAAATTCACTTTATTGCAAATTGTTTATTCTATTTTGAATAAATTTCATTATAGATGAATTTAGTTTTTGGGCCAAACTTGAATTCGATCGGCTTTACGTCTGAACCACAATACAGCTCCACATGAAAATTTGCACACCTACTAATTGATTTCCTATGAAGACAATATCCTCGCATCTGATAGGAAAAATATTTTGATTTGTATCTTTGCATAATCTTATTCAAAAAGGAGCCATTTCAACGAACCTGCATGTTGCCAGGACCAAATGTTAAATTTGTTTTAAACAGATTTCTTCAATTGTTTTTTTCCAAAGTGCCTTTAGGTTTTTTGGGGCATTCTGAACAAACAAGGTTTGTTTGTTTAAGGTTTATTTAGCATAATTGCTACAATTACATTCTTCTAAAAAACTAAACAATTACATAACATACATATATTTAGGAAAAAAAAATTACATCTCGAAGAATTTCCATTGTCCATGAAATATTCCTTTAATTTTCTTTTAAATATCTTTAAATTACAAGTAGACTTTATATCATTATTTAGTTTATTAAATTCAAGTAATCCTTTCTGAAATATTGATTTGCAATTTTGTAAATGAAAATCTATATTTGCACTTGTGTAATAATTGTGATAATGATTATTCAATTCTATGTAGTGTTCTAAATGTTCTGGCAAAAGATGATTTTTTATTTTAAATATAAAAATAAGAACCAAATATGATATGAATTTTTTTATATTCAAGCACTATAATTCTTGTAACATTCTCTAAAGTTGATGGTTTTTGAGTTTCAATACTTGAAAAGGTGCGAAATACCTCATTTTCCACCCCGAAAAAGAATTAAATGTTGCCGATGTTCCTAAATATTCTTCAAACATCCACTAACAAAATCCCAGAGCATTACAGGACGTATTGATTTGTAAACTTTTGTTTTTCAATTGTTAATGGAGCGCGCACTCAGTGTATGCTCTGCGAGAGTGCGACTAGTAGTTTACATGGAAAATTTAGTAATTATAGTTATTGCATCATCCGAGTATGTGAAAACTCATCGATAAAGACCCCAGGAAAGATGTGGAGAAGAGTGCCCAGGGAAATAAATATTCGCAACACTGTTCTGCTTGGGACATATCTTATGTTCGGGATATATTTTAAATTTTACCGTGCAGGATCATATACAACTGACATAGAAGTTTTGGTGATCCTCAGCTGTTGAGCAGAAATCTAGGTTGAAGACAAAACAATTATCAACCAGCAGTCCTGTAATGCTTTGGGATTTTGTTAATGGATATTTGAAGAATATTTAGGAACATTGGCAACTTAAAATTTTCATATTTTTATATTGTTTTTTCAGGCCGAAAATGGCATTGTATTGCTTATGTCTCGAAAACGAGGAAAGTCCTAAAGCACCTTTTTTGTTCAGAATGTCCCAAAAAACCTAAAAGTACTTTGACTTGCGCGGAAAAAATAGTTTCTAGAATTTGTTTGAAAAAATGTTCAAAACATTTTTGACGCAAATTTGGTCTTAGCATCATGCAGATTCGTTAAAAGGGGCCCATTTTGAATAAGCTAATGCAAAAAAATCTTGACCAAACATATTGCCTGGGCTAATCCGCAAAGTCAACGTCGATTTTGACATTTGATAATATTGAACTGTCGCGGCAAGTACCAAAATCTCCATCGTCAGCGTCAAGCCAGCAACATCGCGGCCTGCCATCGCCCCGCTCAACCTGGGACCGTCAGGCCATAAAGACGCTTAATTTTGCAGTACTGTTACCCTCAACTTCGTACGCCTGAAACTGTTACTAACACAAAATATTGTTTTTAAGTAATGCTATAAACTTTCGGACACCTTTTTGTATATTTTATGGAATTAATTAATTGACAGCCAACTTGCATGCTTAGGCAACTTGTTTACTTTATTGGTGGCACCATATATTAAAACTATATTTTCTGGTTGCTGTTAGGCGTGGATCATTTTGAGAGTATGTTCAGTACACGTAGAACTGCAGCGATCGATTATTCGAAAAGTTGACGTTAGGCAATTATGGAAACTTGAGGTTATGGTGTAACTGATGTGAGGAATTCGGTTAAAATATTTTCAAAATGGTGGGTTTTACTTATTTTAAATGGAATACCCTGTATATTATTCAATTTGTGAAATATACGGGAGATTTCAAATACTTCTCATGTATAACATCATAAACTTAACTAAATTTTGTAAAAAAAATCAGAAGTGCATAAAAGACAACGGATTTTTCATGTATTTTTGTCTTTGTCGAACGATTTGTAATTGCTCCCTTATAGAACGGGGTCTACTTTAATGGACTTCCTTCAATATTTTGATAATTAGTAACACTGGGTGGCCAAAAAAATCGGACTTTATAATCTCAACATCATAAGCAATAAAAATAAGAATAGTTTAGTATACGGTTATCTACTTGGCAACTTAGTATTTTAGTAACGTATGAACTGTTTGGAAACTAATTCAGCACACCCGCGATAGCCTAGCGGGCAGAGCAGCGCTTTGGCAGTGAATATCGTGCGGACGACCGCGGTTAGAGACCACGAAGTGGTATAATTTTTTTCCTTGTAACTGCAATATGCAGTATATGAAAAAAGTTATATACATGAAATATTTTTAATGATTCACGACATACCCAACCATGCTGAACTGACATAAAAAAGCCGTATGGATGGATAGAAAACGAGTAGTTGCAAGTATTTCCTAAACTACTAATTTGCGCAGTAGGCAATCTTTTACAAAACGATTTTTTTGGACACCCTACATTCTTAATTATCAAAATATTGAATGAAGTCCATTAAAGTAACCTCCCTTCTATAAGCGACAGGAAAAATTCATAGGCTTTTATGGATCTGCATTTGTGATGTTATACACAAAATTTGTAATAATATATATATATATATATATATATATATACATCCCGCTACCTTTCGGGCGTCCTTTCAAGAAACAATATCTGAGCGTCCACTATAAATTCTGAAGGTATGTGCATTTTATAGGCTGAATATTTTTCAAAATATGACAGTAGTTGGTGTTGAGAAGCAATAGAGTTTTGTTCAGAAACATAGAAAAAATCGTTTTTTACATCACGGACTTCTCAGCTTCCTTTCACTGTAACACTCACTGAGCGTCCCAAATATACGCAAAACTTTTAAATTTCCGTGACTGGGCGTCCTATTTATATATTTTAAATTCACTCTAAGGATTACCTAGCGTCCGGAGACGTTGCCAAATCTGTCAGTAAATATGTTTGTCCAAGTCATTTATTCATTCCAGTAACTATTTTCTCTATGAATGACAGAATGGTAACAACAAGTTCTAGTATAACCATTCTACAAGAGAAATCAGATTGGCATCTGGTTGAGTGTATAAAACAAGGGGATTCAAGAAAAATGGACAGCATAAGAGTGTTTAAATAAAGCCTGCTATACTCCGGAGAAGAAAATACATTCTTAGTACTAATGGACGTCGACAACACAGAAGGATTCTGTGAGTGCTTCTTCGCTGGTCCAAAGTGTGGGGCCAAGAATCTTAGTGAAAGGGGCCCGTAAAAACAAATTTTTCAAGTCAGCGGGCTAGTGTACCTACAAATAAGTTCAGCGCTCGGTCTGCTGAACTCGATTTCTAGCAGTCAATATCTAAGAAAGGTGTTCAGGAAAAAACGCTTCGCAAGAGCCATATGTGGACTATCAGTAATAACCCCATAAGGAAGAAGACATCGGACACCTAAGAAGAGGTACAAAGGATTTTGTTTTAACTTCAAATCAAATGGACATGAAGCAGGTAAGTGCCCTTGTTGTAATATAAAATTGTAAATAAAAAGTTGTTAATAAAGAATCAGAAAATGTCTTACCAGTAGACGGCGTTTGGAGTTTTATCACATGGCGGTTATCAAAATAAAATTATATGCTTTTTGAAAGCTAATTTTGACAATAAAATGGATCAAAAGAAGAATAAAGTTTTTTTCTGGGGACACACTGTGTTTCATTTTTTCCTATATTTCCTACGACGTTACATGTGCTTTTAGTATGAAGCCAGGCAAAGCGAAATGAATAACAGATATAACCACATGATAAGTTTTACAAATTACATTATACAAGGGGTAGTGCATTAAGTTTTTATGAATGAAAATGCTGGATGTAGAAAAATACCTTGTTACATAGAATACACTTTATTATTCTTAAATAAGAACAGGCAAAAGTAATGTGTAGAAAATAGTTATACAACACTTACAAAAATAAAATCAGAATCTGTCCTCATAGGAACCATTGAAAAGTAAAACAAAATTCCTTCATTTGTTATTATATTTATGATACTGGTTTTGGACGAATACTTTAATTTTCGGCCAATCTTTATTCGAGAATATTTCGGTATGGAGCCTTTTCAATTCCTCGCATTCATTTCGTTTCGGTGGTTTTCTGTTTTTTATATGATTTGCAAAAAAATTTAAAACAATTTTTTTCTGTTCATCGGTCCACTTAATGAGTACTCGTTTATTTTTCTTAGGAAGATATTCATTTTTCTTCTCTGGAATTTTTGAACTGTACGGTTCTGGAACGTCGGAATGCAAAGATGGCGATTCACAACGTTCGCTTTGTTCTTCGTTAGCAAGCATCAAGTCTTCTTCCAAATTTAAATTAATATCATTCAGGGCTTTTCCTTTAAACTGAGCACCTTGTCCTTTTTCCATTAAAAGCAGAAGTTTTGAAATCTTGGCTGTTTGGTATACATCATTTGGTAAACGATAGTTTTCCCGATGTACGCCAATGGTATGTCCCATAAAACTAGCCAGCTGCTCCAAATCATTCTCAGACATATCAAATAATTGTGTGAGAGTAGCCAAATGCTTCCGGAGTCTAGTTGCTGTAATAGCTGATGGGTTCTTTGCCCCAGATGCCAGTGCGAATTTCTTCAGAACCTTATAACCTCATATAGGTTCATTTGATTTAGCATTACCGAATAGGAATGGGTTTTTTTCACTAACAAATTTGTTGCGTATTTTAATTAAAATATTTATGTGTCCTTGAATGTCGGGACTAAAAAGAACCGGTACTCCTCGTCCCCTTTTACCTCTTATTACTATCCTTTTAAATCTTTTGAGTAGAATTTGTTCAGTTGGAGAAACAACCTCGGAGAACTCTTCATAATTTGAGCTGGAATCGCTTTTCTCCAATATTTGATAATTGTCCAGTGTCACTCTTTGCAGTTCACCTGGACGTCTTCGGTTAAGTAAAATCACACGGCAGAATATAGACTCCAAAAGAAGTACGTATTGGCTAACGTCCCCGTCGCCGTCGTTCTGAAGTGCAGTTGCGGCAGAATTTGCCGTCGTTATCAAAAATTCCTTTAACAGTTTTAAGTCACTGGCAAGTGGCACTAGGGTAACTTTATTCCACTTGTTAATATTTATATCACTGGCGGCCTGGCTAGAAATCTCATATTGCCATTGTGACTCAATGACTTTTATCAAAGTTTTTAAATCTGCCTCT